TCAGTCAGTGTTGCATTTACGAAGGGTGCTGTGGATATCATGTAAAAATACATTGCGATTATGTCAGCGCACTATTTGTCTTCTCTCTTTGGCCCACATAGAACATAGTAAATTTGTATTAAGAGGACGTCGTACCCGCATATGTTGTCTCCGTCTTACAAATGCGTATCATGGCAAATAGTACTCTCAGAAGATCACGTTTAGCTCCTTCAGCTTGAAAATTAGAATGAATTGACCTCTTTTGAAATTTAAAAGTGAGATTATTATCTAGGGCATCTCATAGGCTTTTTATTATATTTTAATTTTAAAACGAGTTATGTGTGTTTTAAGACGTGCAAACAATTTACAATTTTAAAATACTCATAACTTGCTTTAAAATTAAAATATAATAAAAAGCCTATGAGATGCCCTAGATAATAATCTCACTTTTAAATTTCAAAAGAGGTCAATTCATTCTAATTTTCAAGCTGAAGGAGCTAAACGTGATCTTCTGAGAGTACTATTTGCCATGTTACGCATTTGTAAGACGGAGACAACATATGCGGGTACGACGTCTTCTTAAGTAAAACCGACCTTGTATTATTGTTAAAGTATAAGTAAATTAATTGAAACAAAGTATTTAAAGATAAAAATTAAGAAAATTATTTATGTTTTTTTAGTTGGGTTTTATTTGATATTTTAATTTCTATGTTAATTATAATTTATAAGTGTATAAGATGATAAAATTTAAAATGCTAATATCTCACTTTAAAATTGAAATATTGTAAACAGAACTGACGTTAAAATACAGATCGTGTTCTTGATATTAAATTTGATAATAGTTAATTTTATTCTGATATACTAAAACTAACTATAGAAGGATAGTTCTTCTTAATAACAATTTGCTATGTTGTGTATAAACCAGAGAAAAAACAAATAGTATACTGACATATTTTTAATTCATACCAGATGCCATATGATCAATTTGATTTTAAATATATTATAATATTAGTATGGTTAAATCTACTGAAATTGTAGTTATAGTTCAACTGTGTTAAATTTACTTTTATTACCTATAAGGCATGCATTTTATGCAATAAAAAAGTTGAAATATATTAGTGGTTATTGTTTAATTTTTGCAAAAATATATGTTAAAAACAAAATATTCAATTTCGAAATTTAATTTAAATTTATTTTTATTTTTTTATATAAATGAGAAAAATATTAACAGAAAAAAATCAAAAAATCTCAAATATGAGTCCAACTTCCAACTAGTTACTTGAGTAAGAAATTAGTAAAATGTTTACTTATTTATTACGGTTTATGACAGGTTAAACATATTTCCTAGAGATTAATGATTATCTCCAATATGTATGTGAATAGATAAATATAAAAATAGGAAACATTTAAGAAAATATACTTTTAAATAATATGTGAGATGTATAAAATGAATGCATTTTATTTTATTTATGTTTTTATGAAGTGTGCTAATTTTTAATTATAGCTCAGAAATTAACATAAAAAATGTGCAAATATTAATTATGTATGTATATAAATGAGCTACATAAAATATGCTTGCACTGTCACGGATAAATACTTAATGCAGCACTGGTATCAGAGTTTCTTTTAATATCACTAAAAAGAAATATATTTTTTTAATCTTATATTATATTGTGTTGTTTTAATAGTTGTCAATATTTTTAGATTATATGTGTACGTAACTAGTTTAATAATATTACTTTTTGTAGTAGTTATATGCTATGTTTTTTTTGTTTAGTAATATTAAGAATTTTTTTTTCTTGATATAATATAATAATATTTTATGTATTTTTTTATTTTTAGATTCCTTTTTTCAATGTCAAGCTTAAGTTTATATTACTGCTTACGACATTAATTATATCATTAGTTTTAGCCAAATCAAATTTATCTGTTATACTTACTGGTGGTATTGGAAAAAATGGATCTTCAGTAGCTGTAAGTTAAATAATTATTTAAAACTTAAATACATTTTCATTATTTATTTATTTTAGGGTACCAGTGTTTTGTCTCCTGCTATTCCTCTTATGTTAGTGATTCTTCCTGGATATATTATTAGCTGCAAGAGTACTGAAAATATTTATGAAACTCATCCTGTACTTTATATTATGGCGTTTGGTTTAGTTACTGCTAAAATAACAAATAAACTTGTGGTAAATAAGCTTTATTCAATATAAAATTTTATTATACACTTTAATTTTGTCTTCTGTTATTAGATTGCTCATATGACTAAAAGTCCAATAGAATATATTGATTCCACGCTTATAGGCCCAGCTATGTTATTTTTAAATCAATATTTTGATTCTATTTTGCCAGAATACTACGTATTATGTGTTTGCATGGTAATAATTTAAAATATTCTACTTTTTCTGTTAAATATTGATGTTAATTATTAATTTATAATTATAGGCATGGACTATTATCGATCTAGCAGTATATTCAATGTTTGTTTGCAAAGAAATATGTGATCATTTACGAGTTTATTTATTTTATATAACTACTACTACATCAATTGCAAAATCTGGCGCATCTTTTAAAATTACTGGTACAAATAACAAAAATGGTGGCAACAATTCAAGTGGCTCGTATCAACAGTTTAAATATCCATCTACATTTACTAGTTTTATATATCCATCAAAAACGAAAACAAAATAATAACATTTAAGTTAATTGTAGTCTTAATCATTGTTAATCTCATCGTCGATAATAAGCAGTCAATATTATAAGTATTGAAGTGTTTGTTTATATTATATTGGTTATTTTTTTTTTTTTTTGTGTAATTATATTTGTTATTATATTTATTTGTACCAAGTTCACGGCTGATGCAATCATATGTATATTAGGTGAATTGAATACCTACTGTTGCCAAATTGTACATGAATATATTAACAATGACTGTTATTTTATGTGAAATGTAGTCTTTGCCTTACAATATTTAATTTAAGTGGTTACATTGAGTAGATAATGGGATAGGACTTAAGATTAAAATGTAATTAATATTGGTTATAAAACATTATTTAAAACAATATTGTGAACTTTGTATTGAAATGTTAAATTTCCATGTTTATATTTAGAATTTTACATCGAGTGAAAGTTCACTATTACTTATAAGTCTAAAGAACAACATTTTTTAGTGCTTAATCAAAAATGTTATTACGTCTAATATAATTTCAAAATTAAAATGTTTTTACTTAAAATTGTAATTCAATTGTATAAACGGTATATAAATACAATTTTACTTTACAATCCTAATTTGAAGTTTTATTTTTTAATGAATTAAATCAAAGACTTTTTATAATGTGACCATCCATCATGTAAAGTTTTTAGTTTCCATTGTTAATTTTTTCAATTGTATAAACTTATTATTGAACTTCAATATTTTATCATTAGATAAAGATGCATGTGACTAGTATTGTTCTCATCCATTCAAATAGAAACTTATTTCATAGTTGTAAATATTTAAATTAAAAAAATTAATTTTAAAAGTAATCACAATTGTTAAGGACTACGTATGTTTATATTATAATAAATAATATTATTACATTAAGCTTTCTAAGTTTTATCTAATAAACTTTTATTGACTGCTGGTTGCATAGAATAATAAGTATTAACTTAAAATTAGTATAGTCGAACTTGGTTATCTCGAACTTTTTTAACTCAAAATAGTCAATACCTCTAACTTTTTCTCCGTTCCCTAGAATTTCCTATTTAAACAATATAAAAAATCTTGTTTAACTTAAATATTTTTGTGGATATCTCAAAGTTTTGAGTTGTATTAATATTATAAAATTGTGAAATTTCCCTCGTGTACCTATGTTTATTTTTAATATCAAAATTAAGGTCATAACTCATTAGTGTTATTGTTATCGATAAATGGTTTAAAATAATTCATTACAAACGGCATTATCAACAAAAAAACTCAAACAAAAACAAATACCTTTTTGAATTAATTTTCTAACCTCATTTTTATTTATACGTAGATACATTCCTCTTTAAAATTTATTTATATAAATGCACAGTAAATATTTTTTATTACATTACTTTATTCATAATAAATATATAGGGATTAATATATTTTGTACTGTTTAAAAAAATTTCAATTTGGATAACTCGAACTTTATTCCAGTCCTTTCAACTTCGAGTGAACCAAGTTCGACTATACTACACATTTTATATAACTTCAACTTTCTCAATATGTGATAAATGAAGGGATCATTCTAAGGATTTTGTTTGACGGTTTTTTGTCAGACTTAAGAAATTTCACAGACTTAAAACTGTTAGAAATAACCAAGACACTGTAGATAGTTGTAATATCATTTGCTACCTTTATTATGGTTAAAAGTTGGTTGTTACAACACTTAACAATTTTAATAACAGTTCAAGTTTTACATTGTACTATTATTGTTATAAAATTTTTATAAATAAATGCAGTATATTTTAATTGAAAATAATTGATATTCATATTTTTGAACGATGAAATAAATTATTATTGGGTACACTGCAAATATTTGTTTTAATTGAACTATACACGAATCCTAAACTTTGATATGACTCATTGAACTTAAAAATTTTGTTCAATATCTTAAACGTAAAATGTAGTAGGGAGTAGAGGAACCTACAACAATAATTGTATTAAACAATGCATATGTATTTTATTTGATAAAATTAACACCATATTAAACACATGTTATATCTTTATGTATAACATTTTAACAAAGACAATTTTAAAACAAAATTTGATACAACTAAACATTATTATAATGCCCTAAATAGATGCATGTACCTACAATTATCAATATATATATATAATATATATATGTTCATAACATGGTTGCTCAATTGTTAAGTATTTGCAAGAAATTAACAGTTGCATAAGTTTAAGAAAATATAACTAATCTGTTATTAGGTAAATTTTTCTTTACCTAATATCATTATGATTATAATAATAAATAATAATTTAATAATGATTATAAACATTTTCATCCTATAAATTTTAAAAGAAACATGTTATGTAGTAAAGTTATAAATAATCTAAATAAATCTAATTAAAAAATGGTGTTACGAAAGTTATTTAGCCATTTAAACATGAATAGCTGTTGAACATGAAAACTATATAATAATAAACAAATAGAGATTTCTACTTAATTCTAAATACCATTTTTCCTTGTTTACATATTTAGGTATATTAAACACCTGTAATAATGTCCTGAGACATTAACATCTGTTTTCACTTGATTCGGCCGAGTATGTTGACAATTTCCGCTGTGTTTTGTCTTTATGAGTTTGGCTAATTGTCTGTTTATGACCAGCAGCAATATATGAAAACACACATAGTACTGCATAACAAATTTGCCCAGCCTTAAACAAACAAAAATGATAAGGTAGTTGTGTATATACTATAAAACGTATTTGTCTTAAGAATTACAGCTGATTCGATGCACTTCAAAGCAATTCAATGCATCAATTAAACTACTTTTACTTAATTGCATTTTTTACATAAGAATATATGTATATATTGTTACATATATATATAGAACCTATACTCTCATTTTCTCAGCCAATTTGACATTTTTTTTTTTAACTTCTATTGTAACTGTTTGGAGGAATACGAGAATTTAAGGAATTTTATACTGTGAAAATAAAACTTGTTATTAAAATTGTTGGTTATATTTCAACATAAATTTGCATTGTTTGTTTAAGTAATTCATAGATCGATAGGTATAAGATACATTTTAATTATTCATATAAACATGTATTCCAAATTTTAATAAAAATAGAATTTTAAACCTTTGTGAAATGAAGTATAGTTATTAATTTGATAAAAAATATTCATTTTTTTGTATTATTAACTTGTATGTGTTGTATGTAATATGTATTTCTATTTTAAAATAATTAATTAATAATTGGTAGGTTATTCAAATTGACTGAGAAAATGAACAAAAGGTAGCACTTAGTGAAATAAATCACTCTATATTGAAGTAGGTACATAATAAAATAATATAATAAAAGGTATATGAAAAAAACAAAAAACAAAACAAAACCTTAATGTGGGAGTGACAAACAAGAACATTCCAGTTTATATTATAATAATAATTTAGCTCTTCGTGACTTTCATTGTTCTCAGCATCAATGTTTGCGTATATACAATAGATATGATGCGGTGCAAAGACAATAACATTTCGCTAGCCTAAAACAACATAATGTTATCTATAAAAAAATAGTACGTTGTCAAATAAATACCATCGACAATTATAAATACATTTTACATAACAAAAATAATTTATTGGAAACATACTCAAAAGCAATTTTTTTCATGCAGATGTAGTTGATCCATATTGGAATAAGTTAATTTATTTTGATTATGATTAAACTTAATAGTATATTATAATAATGTTGTTTTACATTTTAAATGTATGCCATAGAATAGATACCTATAGCTTATAAGTAGGTAATATGAATATGTAGGTATAGGCGCATGATAAGTCTTCATGGTTGGGGTGGTACTTAGAGGAAAGGAAGTTTAGGGGTATTTATAGATTAGCCCTTAAACATTCTTTAAATCCTTTAAATTAAAAATAATTTTTAAAAAAGCTCAATAAAATTAATCAGAATTATATTATTATATGATTTTTTATGAAATTGAATCCTGACAAATGGTATTCAACAATTTTGATTTTACTTTTTTATTTCAAATTTTAAAAAGCTTAGGTATCCATTAGATAAACGACTTATTGTTAATGGTAAGTATTGAAATAATAATTTCAATAAAATTAGAGTACATAGATTGTCTATTAAAACCTGAAAAGTCCTCGTAGTTATTGTTATTTTATATTATAATACACTCACACCAACTTAAAAATGAAAAATAATATATCATTGCAGAAAATCTTTCAGAAAAGCATCTCGTGCACTTTTTTCTATTGGAATATGTAGGTATCTATAACGCGATCCATACCTACTTATTCTGCACTATTACAGTATTAGTGTATTAACTTAATTTATTATATACGTATATCTATTATATAGGTAAGTACTTTTGCAAAGGTGGGAAAGTTAATTAAAATAATTAATTCAAGTTAAGTTAAGTCAAAAGAACACAATATCGGTAAGTTAGAAGTTAATCGTTAACAAATTATAAATTTAACTTGATAAGTTAAAATTTAACACGAAAAAAATATTAACTTAATTCAATTTAAAAAAAAAGTTAATTAATTTTTTTAAAAATTAGTTTGTAAATCACATAAAGAGTGATTATGTCTTTCTATTTACTTAATTATAAAAAAACAATTTTATTGAACTTTTATCATAATGTTCATTGTAAATATCCTTTTACTTTACATGATGTGTTATTTATTAATTTAAATTAAAAATATCTCAAATTAATAATTTAACAAATATTATTTTTTTAATATAATATAGCAACTGAAGGTCATATAATATAACATTAGAATAACGATTTATAATTTTATTAAAAAAGTTTCTAATATCAACAGCAAAAAGCTAAGTTATTTCAACTTTTAGTTAAAGTTAAAAAAAATGCCCACCTTTGTAGTTATGTATATAAAATATATACGTTTTAAAATATTAATTAGTTATGAACAATATGACTTTTAAATTGTATACATGAAAATATAAAGTGAATGCTTTTAAATTCAATTTATTTTATTTAATTACTATTTATACATTAGTAAAGCTTATTTACGTTGCATTACGTTTAAGTAGAAATTTAAATTACCAACTGATAAACATTTTTTTTTCTTAACATGTCTTTACGACTAATCAAAAATTGTTGTTATAGAGTACTTTTATATTTGGTCTTTATGTTTCAAAAATAAAAGAAAAATTCGCTTAGTATTTTAAATTTTTGAGAAAAATCAAAAAATAAATTTTTATCTCGTTCATGGAATTAAAAATGTTAACCTTTTTTAGTTTATTGTGATAAAATAACACACGTTTGAATTGAGTAATTAAAATATTAATAACTAGTAGTTCAATTCTAATTAAGGTTTTTATTAATTTATTATGATTAATGATTTAATACATAAACATGCTAAATAGTGTAAGATACCTATTCCAGTGTAGGTATTACTAATTGAGATAATATTTATCAAAAAAAAGAAAAAGAAAAAGGTTGTAGATAGGTACCTAAGTACAATAGAAGTTTGTTGTAGGTGTTTACTGTTTATATATAAAGAATTAATACAACTACAATGCTTACTGAGATTATTTTAAACAAAATACTTTTAATGAAAAAGTGATGTATAGTGGATGTCAGATGTCCTTAAATTTTAATGCAATATTGAATATAATGAATGGATAACATTGAATTGAGCCCCGCAAATTCTTTTGGGTTATTGGAGTTGAGTCCGACCAATATTCTTAGTTTATTCGTGTTGAGTTCCTTTCTTTAATTGTAATAATAAGTATAAAAAGTCAAATAATTTAAAAATATTAAAAATAATTATAAATAAAGGTACTTTTTACCTAGAGAATATTTTTTATTGACAGTTATAAAAAAAATACTAAAAACTTTAAAATTTGTCATACCTGTAAATATTTTAAAAAGAGTTAAAATTTGTTGAACATTTTATCATAGTATATATATTGAAAATAATAATTTAGAAATTTCAAGTACATAGGTACTTATCTTATTATTTTTGGAAATATAACAAAATATTAAAAATTTGTCACCGGCTATGTAGATAGTTGACATTTTATCTTTACGGACTCAATTTAAAGATATTAAGATGATAAGCTGGACTCAATTCAAACATATAAAAGTAGCATGGACTTAATCCCATATCACCGTAATGAATCATGGCGTTCAAAAACAGATTCTAATAAAGTGGAAAATTATTACATTTTAAAATGTTCATGTTTAATACCTAATTAATAAATAATAATATAAACAAATATTAATCAAGCACAATTATTGCGATGTAGGTACCTACACATTAGGTATATTTTCAGCATGCATTTTAAAACAGCTATTAACTTATACCTATTTATATAACATGTAAAATACCTAAGTTCTAGAATATAGCATAATTAGTTACTACTTACCATCGGTGATTCGAATTGCCGTTGAATAATATGTTTCAATTTTGGATCTTTAAAAACAATCAACGGTTATAGTTTTTGCAACAGTTGTTTAAAATAAACTAAATTATTTAGGTATACTTACTGTATTCCTCCAAAACAAATATTTTTTTCTGCACTGTGAAACACTTTCGCACGTGATCAAGTCGAACGAAAAACTGAAACGAAACAATTAGTTATTAGTTCTTACGTAAACAATATTTTAAGTGAGGTGACTAGATGTGCTGGTGATGCGATGTATTATGTATAGTTGTTAAATATTTAATTTTACATTCGCTAACGGCATCAGATTAAAAGTGTGCACCTAATTTATTAATCTTTATATATATATATATATATAATAGATCATAAATACTACTAATTAATTAAATTTTTATCAAGACAATTACTAGTCATTAAAACTATTACAACAATAAATTATAGTTATCTAGTTCATTGATTTATTTATATTTTATGATTGGGTAGGTATAAAATTTTGTAAACACGTATCTCGCGATTAACTGAAAGCTCAGTTGTGATTGATTGAAAAATATGGATGAATTAGGTATCTACAGAAACCGGAGTGAAGTGCTTGTAAATGATAAATTATAGTATTCAAAGAACAATTTTGAGCAGACCTTTATAAAAATCACAGTTTTGTTGATCAATATTTTTTTAAATTTATATTACATTTAAATTGATACACAAATTTCTTTAAACATATTTTCGGCCGTATTTCAAAATTTTAAGAATTACTATTGAAAATTACTATCAAAGCTTGAATTATAATCTTTGAAAAAAAAACAACGTTCAGGCATATATTACTCAGCTTTCTAATAGGTTAGATTCAAAAAAAGTTAGTTTTACTTGTTACACAGGGGTAATGAAAAAAATGATTTCGTTTTTAAATTGATTCTAAAAACAATTTTTAGGATACTGATCCATCTATAATATGCTATATGGTAGAAATTAATGTACCTAATTATTGATCATATAAAAAATTATATTGAAATGCTCTACATAATCTTAGTGTTGACTGGATATAGAAAATTATACATTGAAGTACCTGTTATTATTAAAACAAAAATGGGAATATAATTTCTTTAGTGAAAATTGGTGGATATAGAAGATATAATATTTGGTGATCCATTTAATAACATAAAGTTCATCATTTTTTAAAACTATTAACATTTTTTAATACATTTTTGTTACATAATTTAAAATGGTTAAAAAACAACATTTTACTGAACAAATATTTTTTTAATCTGTACTTTAATACATAAAAATAATTAATAGTTTATTAGTTAGAACTTATAAGTATTTAATGTTTAGAATTGAAGTGGTATAGAAATATCCCATAAAATACCGGTTTTCTATTTGGCTCACCTAAGTTTAAATATAATAAATAAACTATTTGTCTGAAATTTGATTTGATAGATAGAAATATTCTAAATTGTTTTTTTTTTCCAAAAATATTGTTTTGTGATGATTTAAAATTATTAAAAATACTAATTTTCCAAAAGTTAGTGTTTTTTGAAATAATGAGTATCTGGTGGTAAATGGATTACTCGTAAAAGGAATTTCTGATCATTATATTGTAAAACCACCGCTACAATTTATATATAACACGTTTTAAACATTTTTTATAAGTACCAATAAATTGCAATAACCTATTGTTATCATCTATTAAACCTTAAAATATTTTATAATTTATACTTAGTATATAGGTACTTAATAGTTAATAATAACACATACACATATTTTATATCGGTAATTATTTAAATTAAATACAGTAATACGCATGCAACACAATTGTGGGTAATACAAAATGTAAGCGCAAACTAGTTAACAACTCGGTGCAGCTACATTATATCATAGTCATCTATAGGTCTATATAGGTACACACACTTACGGTAATAAGTCTAAAGTTAAACACAGAACAGTGATAATACTTAAAACATATTATAGATGGTTGAACATTGTTTTGATATATTTTTTTTTTTTATATAATGAAATGTAATATGTCGGACAAAAGCACAAACATCAAAAATCAAAGCTTAAGTCAACTAGTGAGATGGCCAGGCAGTTACTGTAAATAATTATATAGGTAATCGTTACACATAGTCATTATCAATACACGTTGATGATACACATATATAAATATATGTATATATATATATTTATATATACGTACTACATAGGTAGATACATGTAAACATACATGCGTCATATATATCTATGTTATATATATATATATATATATATATATATATTACTGAAAAACTAGGCTGTTATAAAGTAATATATAAATATATATACACATTTTTTAAAGTTTTTTCTTCGTCAATTATTTTTACTGAAATATATAGGTACCTGATCGAGTGACTTAGTTTTCAATGACATGCTACACAGACTAACAGGCATGCACGTACGCACGCACGTGCACACACATACACACACACACACACACACACACGCACACACACACACACACACACACACACATACATACACACATACCCACACACACACATTCACACCCACCTACACACAAACACGCACGCACGCACGCACGCACAAACATACACATATATATACACATATAAATATAGATAGGTAATTAAGTATATGTATATGAATACATAATAGGTATGTTATATGCATATAGGTGTAGTTATGTAATATGTTTATAAATATAATTTTTTTTTGTAATATTTTGTGCAATTACAGCCATGCTCCCCGTTGTAGAAACTCCTAAATAAATGCATCATTATTATTTTATGATATTCACGTTTAGTGTGTGTGTAGGGTAGAACGATCGAGGAACAGTAATTTGTAAAAAATAATAATAGAAAAAAAAACAGTGACGCTACTCGTCTGCATAATATATATATATATATATAGGTAATAAAAGAAAATAAATAAATAAATGAAATATTTTACAGTCCAATCGTCTATACGTAATATGCACTAGAGTGGTTGATTTATAGCAAACAGGAAATCAAAACTATAATATAATATCTATTACCAATGACAAAACCGTACTTTTTTTAACGTAAATGTTGCTAATATAGGTACCTCAAAGTCCTGAACGAGACAACAATCCATCGCGTTATGACATTTCATAAAAAAAAAAAAAAAGGACAATTGAAAATCAACAAAACATAGCTAAACATTATGTATAACACGAATAATTAATATTATTATATATCGTGTTTCGATAATCATTATATTATCGACCTGACCGAGGACCATCTCAAAAGTTTCTTAAACTTTGCAGTTAAGAGGAGGAATAACAACAACACGACGTGTTTTTCTGACTGAAATAAAACATTAAATTTAATTCAAGGCGATAATAATAAATTATCATATTGTTGTATACATTTATTGATATATATGTATATATATATATATATGTATGTATTAATATATCTATATATTATGTATTCATATATCTATATATTTTATAAATATTTAGATATAAATGAGCGTTAAAACACGTGTGAAGTATAATATTTTAACGAGCGTGGTGTTATTAATAAAACTTTGAGAATAAAAATAACAATAAATAAATAAATTATAAAGCGTATTGAACATTCTGAATTGTTAAAAAAAAAAATAAATAAAAAAATGTAAATATAAATATCCAAAAATATTGAATATTGAATATACTTATACAACATGTCTCAGAAATAATGATCATATGATCCATTCAAAATATCACTCGTATTAATTATTTAATCCAAACAAATTTGGGATAAAAATATATAAATAAAATCATCTGATATGAACAAGTATAGTTTATCTCCCAAATTTGTTGATAAAAATGTATTAAATATATTTATCTATTAAAGAGATATTTTGAATGATTCTGTATTTCTAGGACACACTGTATATATATATATATATATACAATCACACAAAATAAAATATATATTATGTAAATATATATATAAAAAAAATATATAGATCAGAAAAGATATAAAGTATCACATGCCTAATTTTCTGTAAAAATCGCGGTTAATAGAAAGCTTTAAGAAAATTTACACGCCTATTCACGATAATGATATAATAGTAGGTAGGTACTAGGTACTTTTTATTTTATCGTGTATACATCATGAATTAAGTATAGTTAATTTATACCAACGACCCGAATTTGAAGTGGAATAAATCGAATATAAATAGATACTATATATTATACATAAATGTATTGCAGCTTCATTTACGTATTTATTGTGTTAATGTTTTAAAATCAACACAACAATAATGTTTTAAGAAAGTTTTGAGAGGTCCTTAAAATATATAAATTTTTAGTAGTAAGTTGTAATTAACAGCTTTCTTTGTATGTAAGTTTAGTAATCATAATATAGTTAAAAGAAAAAAAGTTTTTCCTTAAAATTAATTTTGTTGGGTATAAAAAATGATATAGATATATATATATATATATAATATATATATATGTATATATATATACATATAATATGTAAATTCACATTGATGTACATTTCTTGAAAATGTTATTAAATAGAAAATATATGAAAGAAGTGAGAAAATTAATCTACTATAAAAAGTCAAAAGGTATAATTACATTTTATTAATCATAAGAGTATTTATTAAAATATCTGAAGTAATGAAGATAGATATAATGAATGTTTGAAATTTAGTTATTTCAGCTATAAAAAAATAAGGATTTATGGATAAGGTGGCTAAGATTTTTGTTATATTTTCATGATTATTGATATGTTTCCATATTTTATGTAATACTCATATTATTATAGCCGTTATAGATAGGCATCCCTTTATCCTATTTATTATAGTTATTAGTTTAATACCTACTTATTAAATTAGGTACATGAAGAGATATTATTATATATATAAATATATATATATATATCTATGGTTTAGTAGTAAACTTTTTTTTCTTTTAACCACAAATAAATTGAGAAAGGAGGGTTTCAAACAAAATACTACCAATAAAATAATAATAATAATAATAAAATAAACATATGAAATAATATCATTAATGATAATTAAAATAATAATGATAATATATATAAAAAATTAAATTAAATAATAGTAATAATTAAATAATAATATTGTAATAATAATAATAATAATAATAATAACAATAATAATAATAATAATATTGTATTAAAAATAAAAAGTTATAAAAATAATAATAATAATAATAATAATAATAATAATAATAATAATAACAACAGCAACAACAATAACAATAGTTTTAATAATAATAGTAATAGTAATAACAATAAAACGCATAATAGTAATATATATCATTGTTGCTGCGACATGCATCTTATTTATTACTTACCTTACTATCAGCGAATAATAAACCAACACCTTCCATGCAAACTTGAAGTATACCACCTTCCCCTGTTGCCATATCCTTAACAGGAAATTCGCCTCCTAATTCAACTCCAGGAATGATACCTTGTCCTCTCTCTGCGGCTTTTTCCATGGAATGTTTGATGCGAGTATATAAATCTTTGCACTATATAGCGTAATATTTATAATAAAAAATTATTTACTTAATGTTTTGTATAAAAAAAAACCAATACCAATACTCTATTCAAGTTAAGAATGAAATGATAGAATTGAAATTTTTACCAAAAATAAATTTTTGAATTGCATTAGGGTTAAAAAAGATAATAGTTAACTGCATTCGGGTAAAAAGCAGGCAATAGTCAAATTGCACTTGGGTTAAAAAAAGTTAATGATTGATAACTGTCCGACTTAATCGAAATCTCTTGATGGCACGCATGACACAATTAACAAATTACAAGTTAAACAAACATTTATGAGGAATTTTTATTGGATAACAATTTTGTATGTAACACAATAATGTTTTCAACCAAAAAAAAAAAATAAATAAATAAATTAATTAATTAATTAAAACCTATGTGTAAAAAAAAAACAATTATTTTGTGGATGACACGTTTTTACATTACCTAATTTTTTTTTTTTTTATCAAATATTCACATTGCACACAATTCATAAAATTAATTATAAATAGAGCACTTTATTTATATGCATTAAAAACTAGCCAAATATGAGCTAAAAATCTTAAATATATGCACTAAAATGTTAAAATATACATAAAAAAATTATTTTTTGAACAATAGTGAAATAATGTCAGTATTCAATTATGACTGTAATCAATATTTTCTTACCTTGATAAGATTAATCTAAATATTTTATTTGCCCAAATATTCATCAAAAGTCATATTTGAAAAAACCGTTTATACCTATTGATTTATTTTGATAACCATTGAAAATATATATAAATATAATAATTTTTTTCTTATATTACAATAGACTATAATAGAATAAACTTAAAAAATGTCTAAAAAAACATCAAAATATACACTAAAAGAAGAAATATGCAATAAAAATTGTTAAATAAGCCCTTAAAATAGAAAAATGTCAAAATATGCACTAAAAGTTTCATTTTTAAAATCGTTATGTCATGAAACAAATTTTATGCTCACTTAGTATAATAGAATAAATATCCAAATGCATACAAACCCGCGCTTTCATTATAAACTATTATTTTGATTTTTTTCCAAATAAAATAGTAGAAATATACAAAAAAGTGTTTAAAATAAATAGTGAAAAGTGCAATAAATTAGTTTTGAAATTTATGCCAAACTTATTTGTAACAGATTTTTAATAAGTAATTCATAATACAGTCTATGAAATGTTTTCTTTATGTAAAGTAATTGATTATAATTTTTATTTATTGCAATAATGGTATCGCAAAATACAAAATTTGGGACCAGAAATTGATTAAAAATCTAAAACAGAAACTGGAAAGTGGCTTCGTTATATGTTTGGTTTAAGTTTTTTAAATTCAACCAAAAATGACGAATATTATACAAATAATTATATTTCCCGAAAACTAAGCACTTTAAGAATTTAGGGACTATTTAGTAGATAATAACATTTTTGATAAGATACTTTTACTATTTCAATATTTCATATTATGGCTTTGGATATGAATTATAGTGAAAAGACTACAAATGCATGCGAGTCGTTTCACGCAATATTTAATAGATAATTTTCGTCATCACATTCAAATATATTTGTATTTATTGATATTTTAATATAATTAAAAATAGATACTCATATTTTAATGTAGGGTAAGGACTCAAAACCTTCAACTATATAGTACTAGAAAAAAAAAATAAACGAAATTGAAAAATGTATTAACTTATATACTCAACAATTAATGAATAGGTTAGAGTTTAAAAAAAAAATCATTTTGTTATAATTACTACGAAAAATAATCGACAAGTTTAAAAAACCTCGGACTAGGGTAGGTTAAATTTGAATGCAATGATAGGTATCATTGTATACGAAAAACGATTCTTAACGGAGATGATTTGTTAATCTAGGATATATTATATTTAAATATTGTCATACATTCTATTTTGAAACAAATATTTTATTTTTCAATTAGGACGCATTTGCAAAAGTCATGGTTAATCAATTAATTATTAATTTTTATGAATTATACCTACAAAATAGTTTGCAAATATTCATGGTTTTGACGAATTTTTGTCAATATTTGAACTTCAAATACTAATAAAAAAAAATTGTGCCTATGTATTCTTAAAATTTTTTGATCACTATAAGAATAACTTATGAAGAACTTTGTATGAAATGTTCAAGTATTTTGATTAAGCTAAAAAAATTTTATAGACACTTAAAAAATTTTTTTTCAGAATTTAGTTGTCTATAAATAGCTCAAAAAAGTCAAAATATTTTGAAAATTAAATCATGTAAAGAAAATGCCAATCTAAATAACTGGTAAAATTTTCAAGTATCTACGACTTATACTTTTTGAATATTAACAAATATTTAAAATCGTTTGAGGATAAATCGTTATCGTTACGCTATTTCGTAAAAATTTAAAATTCAAATCACTTAAAAGTTTTCCTATAATGATGCTTCGAGTTTTTACTATAGCTACTTAAAGAAAAACTCAGGGAAAACATAGTGTAGTATTTTTAATCCTTAGTTATAAACACAAAAAATTTTATGATTTTTCAACTTCAAAATTACTTACAAATTTTCGCGTTTTCGATAGATTTCATAAATATTTGAACTATAAACGTTTATAAAAAAATATTGTGACTAACGATTTTAAATTTTTTTTAGCTAAATAAGAACAACTCATAAGGAACTTTGTATTAAATTTTCAACATTTTTTGGTTATCCAACATTTTTTTATCAACACTTCAAAAAAAAATTCTCATAAAAATTGATAATTTTTCAGTGGTCTATAAATAACTCAAAAAAAATCAAAATTTTTTGAAAATTAAACTGTATATAGATAACACTAACATAAATATTTGGTAAAAATTTCAAGTATTTACAGTGATTAGTTTTTGAATTACAACCATATAAAAAAATCGATTTGGTCGAAAACTAGTTTTGCGTAAAAATTCCCGTTTTTCCGTCATTTTTTTTTTCTCGATTTTTTTGAAAACTGTTGGAAAATGTTTACTTTTTACTTCTATAATGCACCAAGGATATTTACTTTGCCATCGGAAACTACCCGCGAAGTTTGAAATTGAAGCATTATTTCGACTACTTATGCTGTACACAGACACAAAAAAAAAAAAACAGACATCATTGTAAAATCAATACATTCATCACTCCGTTTAGAATCTAAAACACTTAAAAATATTATGTAAATTTACGTATAAGCTTAAAACACACGTGTATTTATTATATATTATGTTAAAAATAAAAACATTTTTATAACTACGCGTCTACGCCAATGATTAAAATCGTTGTCAGTCCTTAGCCTGTAAGAAGGAAAAGAAATGAGAGTTTTCTAAATTTTAACCCTTTTAAATGCAGAATATTTTTGTTGAAATATTTTTTTTAACTCAAGTTCAGTTCGACCTTAACTTTAAAGAAAACAACTAGGTGGCTGATTTGTGTGCATGTCTTAACTTCACAGCAAGCGTACAGATTGTTAATTTCGCGGGAGTGACAAAATGCTTGACTACTGCCCGATGAAAATTGGTCCCTGCCTGGTTATATTCTTAACTTGTATAGACTATAGAGTATACTTTTTTCTTTTTATCATTTTATTTAAAATTTAAAATGGCCAACACAAATGGTAGAAAACTGTTGTAGAGCTAACATAGATGGACATTGAGTTGAATTTTTAGGGAGGCTATTATAATAATTCAATGTAAAGTGACTCGCAGAGCCTTCGCCCCCGAACCCTTTTCTATATACAAGTACAATATATTACTAATAAAATATATAAATATGTATAATTAATAAAAATACTAAATAACACAAATTTAAAAATAATTAATAATTAATTTTACTTTAATAACAAATGTCTGTTTTTATCGGCAAAGATATTTAAAATATCATCGTTATTAATATTTTTGGACATATCTTTTTCAATGTAATATAATAAAGAAAGATCACTGAACTTATACTGACGCATTAATATCTTTAGTTAACTTTTTATTTTTTTCATTGCACTAAAACTTTTTTTTGCAAGTAACCGAACTGATTGGAATTGTCAATGTTATTGTAAATAGTTTTTGAAAATTAGGGAATACTGTTTATTTTTTTGATAAAACTCTTAAATATTGTTTTAATAACGTTATGTAGGTACAAATGGACAATAATTATTATTATAATATATTATATATATACACAACGTACATAGGTATACGTTTTTCGATAAAAAGATGAATAACAACGTGTAAAAATGTAAAACTAGCATTATTACACAAATGCGATTATATTATAGTACGATAATAAATGTTATAGGATGTCATTTATTTGGAATCCAAATATGCTTAAAACAATAATAATTTGCTTATAAACATTTATTAGTGGCATTTGTTGGTAAAATATTATTTTATAATTTTCAAAAAATATTGGTAGTAATTATTGTATATAGTAATAATAATATTTCGAATAAAGTTTCGATTTTGGAGGGGGGGTCTAATGAAATATTTGGGATGGAGGGCTAAGCCCCTCCCCGATGTCTACTTACGAGAGCTATATAATATAAGTAATTAAATTGAAATTGTATGTAATTTGTATTTTTAAGGAACACACTTAATTAAAAGTAGGTAAATACTTTGTAGTTTATGATATTAAATAAAAAGTGTATAGTGGTTCTCCCTGCTAATTAGGTTTTGAACGGTTAAACAATTCATAAAAGTATGAGACTTGGATACAAATTTTCAGCTCTGCAAACGACTATTAAATTCGCCACGTCACTGGATATAGAGTAAGGTATACTGTGATTGTCACTTATTTTTTTTGTATAATATTTGTTTAGTTGAAGTTGTCCACCGTTGGCGGTTCTCCAAAGACAAAATATTTTACTTCTAGGGCTGTAAGTCATATTTACAATGCGTTCATACCACCATCTACTAACAATCACTCCGCTAACTGATCTCAGAACGAGTCCGTCGTCTCTAACTTCTAGGAACAACAATTCCCCGGTAGAGTCACCACAGTGTACAGCAAAGCTTTGTCTATGTGCTTGTCTCGAATTTGATGGTTTCAAGTCAACATCATTTCCATTCTAAATAGTACACCAAAGAAATAGGTTGTTTTATTTTAATATTAAGTAAAATCTACTCGTAATATAATATACTAATGTTATGTGCTGTTGTGTATCGTAAAAGTATAGAATAATGTTTTAACCAGTTATAATAATTTTGAATAAGTATTTAGATTTTTCTTATTTTTTATGTAAAAAGACGCAAGATAGTTATTTAGTGTTCTTAAATTGTAGAATGTAAAGCAGGTACACGTATATTAGATAAACAAAAAAGCATGTTTAAACTTACCAAATTAGATAGTTGAGACATGAGGCTCGTTATTTCAGTCGCGTAACAATTTGTCACTCTACTTTTCCCGACTAAAGTCCTAACGATTTTCATAATACTTTCCTTAGGAACGTTTACCATGATCATAAATGCAATTAAATTATATATCATTATGGATAGGAGTTTATCTTCATCATATTCTAGGCGTTTCCGTTCACTTTGATTTAAATTTTTATACCTATAAAATAATTATTAAAATATCAAAAATTCATAAATATATGTTATAAAATAATAAAATATTTTTATAGACCTCTCCATCATTTCTATTGGTCCTTGATCCATGCCTATCATGTCCCTCTCTTGACTGACAGCATCAATAAATACATCTTCCCAAAATTTTAGTTGATTCCAAATTGTACTTCGTTCTTTTCCCAGTATACCTGTATAACATAATTATAACGCGTGTTAGTATTATAATTATAATTTTATTTTATAACCATTATACATATAAATGTATTCTTAATTTAAAATAATAAATGTGTATATAAATACCTTCAAACAAATAGGTACGTCCTGATTCTGGACTAGGCGATCCAGATGTAGTGTTCAATAAACCTCCGTGATATCGAAATCCAGCACTTAGAGATGATTTACTGGACCAAATACTTTGAGTGCGATTCTTATTAGTTGTCTTGAAAAGCTATAATGGAAAATATTTTGTTTTATATTATTTAATTGTACAATTTATATAAAACTATTACAAAAAATAAAATACTAAACTTTTGTACTTCATATACAAATTTTAAGTAGACATTTGTATTGTACTTACTCCCGTATTATCAAGTTCGCTGTCCGATACTGCACTTCGAAAGAAAGATGCATTGTTTCTACAGTTGTTACTTGTCATCCGTTTCAAATAAAACGACGGATTGTTGACTAGTACTGAGCTACTGTTACAACTGGATTCATCTGATACTACTATAGGTCCAATGGATGAAATTTCTCCCTAAATAATCGAGTATGTGCTTTTTAGGTACTCTTTAAAAATCTTCGATGATAATTATTTCACCATTAATAACAATTTATTATGTTTAACTCAAAATACATATTAATATTTCATTCGTATATCTGTGCTTTAATTTTTAAAATATGTAAAAATACACAAATCTAAAATCTTAGTTAATTATAGATACGAAATTATAACAAAGTACAAATTATTAAAATGCATTTACGTATAATATTTAATTCTCCTTATAAAGTAAAATATGAACCCTATATTATCACTTTAATTGATAATATTATTGCTTTGTGCCAATGAACCAAAAATAATAAGATAAATTGACTAATCGATGCCAAAATGGTCTGCTAGTATAGTTAGTACTTATTTAATTTAACGTTATTAGTTAGAGTCAAATTTATTATTTTCACTACTCTGTACATACAATTTATGCAGCTTTTAAATATTTATAATCCGCCATGTAGGGGAAAAAATCTTCCGTATTTTCTAGAAATGTTTTCAAGTCTAAAAGTTAAAACACTTTATTTTAACTTCTGACAATGCATTAATGAAATCTATCTTTTAAATATGAAGGTATTACTTATTAGGCATAAATATAAATAATATAATTTAAGTACATTTTATTGTAGTATCAAATTTTTCCGGTCAATTAAAAAAAAAATATCGATAGAAAAAATAATAATATTTGTATCTTGCCTTTTATTTTTAATATTACTTATTAAAGATTTTTTTTTTTTTTAATTTCATTAAATTGAATTGTTCAAAAGCAATTTTAAAAACACTGAAACAAATAATTATGTTTAAAAATTATTTTTATTTTTATAAAATATTAATGAAAAGTATCTAAATAATAATGAAAATATTTTAATTAAACTTTTTTATCTCTTTATAATGTATTTGCTTAACGTTATACAATATTTGGTTATTAGTTATTACCTAGTTATTTTTGACAGCAGATATTATTTTTATTCAAAAACTATACATATTCTTAAATAAATAGAAAGCAATTAAAATCATGAAAAGAATTCCTGTGGTTATACTATAAATATATAAAAATAAATTATTTACTTCATTTCCCAAAAAAGGGTTTGTTGAAATTTGTTCTTGTTTGTTGTTTTCAATGTTCATTAAATCATTGAACGTTTCATTTAAAGAAGCATTAGAAGTCGATCCTTCTCTGTCGTCAGCTAATGAAAAATCACGAGAAAATTTTCCAGCTCCACTATTTTTACATTCTATTAACAATATTAAATAATATTATAGTTTTTTTCAAAATTATTAAATCTAAGAGTAGTATTTTTATAAACATATAATGTAAGTATAATATGATTTTTTTAAAGGTACACTTGCATTTTCTTGTAAGTACTTAGTAATAGTTTTAGAAATATTTTTAGAAATTTGAAGCCATACTTTTTTGCATACTATTATGCAATACATCTTTATGGGTGCGATAGGGTTGTGCAATTAATACTGGTTTAGACTCAACACGGTGGTTTTGTGTTTATTATAATTTATATTATGGCAAATTATGATTTTTCTGTCATAACTCATAAATCATAAGCAAAAAATGACAATGGATAATTGTAAACTCTATCGATGATAAAATTATCTTACATTTATTACAGTACTATCTGAATTAGGTATATGTAATATTTTCCTAATTTTCGAGTCTTTAGTATACTTTGTCTGTATATAAATTTAATTAAGTATTAAAATTTAATTTTTATAATAATATAAACATATGAATTTGAAAATTCAAATATATAAAATATAAATAATAATAATAATAATATCAATCAGTTGTGAGTTATTATTATGGTCAAGGTAGGACTAATAAAATAGAAAAAAAATTTAATGTACATTTAAATTTAATTTTTATGTAATAACTAATAAAATAAATGTATAAACCCGAGAAAGTGGTAAAAATGGAATAATGTTCACTCGGGAGAGTAGTTTATTAGTTTTATAAATCGGGAGAGTTTATGACAGCCAGAAGAAACAAATTGATGATAATGAGACAGACAGAGTAGTATCACCACTTTACTGAAGTTAACACTAAGAACAAAGGTCACAACTCACAACTAACCGAGCTGAAATTTTCTTCGTTAAATTGACCAGAAATAACAAATTTTTTACTAAATTCGTCAATTTTATGATTGGTTAGCAGTAAAAAGTTTATAATATAGTAGTATTCTAGGTTTAAAAGCATTACCATGTAAATAACACATTACATAATATGTTTTTTATAAATATACAAAAATAAGAATTTTACCAGATAATCCAGATGTACTGGTTTGAGAAGATTTCCTAGATGCTTGATAAATACTGGACATTGGTGAACCAGCAATACTTGGACTTTGTAGTGGTGATTGTACATTTTCACGGCTACTATATGGACTGGACGTCTATATATTAAAAAAAATAATAAAAGAGATAAGTATTTAAGTGATCTAGAAATTCTACATGTTAAACGTAATTAACTAACTATTTATAAAAAGTTATAAAAGATAAATAAATTTACAAAATATAATTTTATAAATAATTTTTAAGAATTGTTAAAAATTTGTATTTCTATAAATCAGATGTATCATGATGAATTGAATTTATTTTTAGTAATGTGGTAAGTATCTACTAAAAACTTTGCTGAAATAATTAATAAGTACCTTTTAAAAGTTAAAGACAAGAACTATTAAAATGTTTCTTTTACTGTAAGAGTGCCAGTAATTGATAGATTTTAAAATCGAGAAGTTCATTTCAAAAATAATTTTTTTTAATGTCTACACTTTAAAATATAGGTAATATTTTAATATAATTAGGTACTCAAAATATAGATTAAAATATAGTTTAAATAATATCCATTTTTTTAAATTTTGTGTATCTAGCTGTAAATCAATATTTTAAATATTTTCAATAATAATCAGCACTTACTTATTTAAATATTATTTTATTGAAATTTATGAATACATACACATCTGTTTAAAACTAATAATTAATCTACCGTTATATGTTACATAAAAAAACAAAATATGAATAATTACTTGAGATTCGAAATCAGTCATAGACATATCCTTAGCCCAATAATGAGTATGAGCTATTTCTAGTACTTGGAATGCAGATGCTAATCCACCTCCACATTGATTGTTAAAAGATACTTCTAATCCATGAATAATTGCTAATAAGGCTTTAAGCATTCCTTTCCAAACAAACCTATTTATATACTAGAAGAAAAAAATATTATTTTAATATCAGAATAATAAAATTTAAATTTATTTCATCGGAATAAGTGTCAATTATTTAAATGAAATAATATATTTGAAATGTGTTAAATCATTACCACATCATCAATATGATCACTTGGACTAATTTTATTATCCAATGTACGGTTAAGTTTACTGACAACTAAATTCCGGTATCCCTCTTCTTCCATTAACTTTTTGAATCTACTGAGCTTGAGCCAACCTATTCCATCTCCATCAAGAATCTGTTTTGTTACCTAAAATTTACAAAAACCAATTATTTTATACATTTATTTGTCAATTAAAAATAAATTGGATTATCATACATCTTTTAGAAACGTTTCATTATCCATATGACTATTAGGTTTAACTGATTTTTTGCTTGGTATTTTTGATGTTTCACTTAGTTTTCTTGGATTTGAGTGACGAATTAAATTTGATTTTTCAACTAAATCGTTACGCCCGGCTAAAAAAAAAATATGAGATGTATAATATATATACTAAAATACTTTCACAAATATTTTAGAAAAATAGTTTTTATTTTAATAATAAAATTTTGTTTTTACTTTTTGCCGGAAAAGGTCCAGAGGAAGTTCGTTCTTTAATTTTAGTCACTGGCAACGTGAGCGATGATTTACTATTTTTTTGTTGTTTATTGCCACCTAATACATAATAAAAAATTTCATAACGTCTAAATATTTATATTTTTTAGAATTTATTTAGTATTTAAACAAATAAGCTGACAATTTAAAAAAATTGTAAAAATAGAAACAAAAGTACTGAATAAAAGCTAAAAATATCTAAGTAGGTAAGTATTTGAGAGTTGAGGGTACTTTATAGTTGAAGTAAATAGATAAAAAGTAAATGTGCCATTTATACTAAGATTTAATTTAGTCTAAAAGAATATGATAAATATAAAAATAACTTTATTATGGTACCTACCAAAGAAATAATAAATAGTTTAAAATAGATATAATTTTAGACTAGGAACAATGATATTTTTCACACAGTACCTATGTTGCCTCTAGAAATTGATACATAATATAATTAAGTTACCTACTAACTTCTAAAAAAATGGTTTCATAGACAAATTCCTGCTTAAACATATTTATAATTCTTTATTTTTACAGTTGAGAAAATTAATAATTTTTTAACATAGATATGTTTTAGGATGATTATAACTTTTTTTTCTGACAAATTACTGGTAACTAATTTTAAGTAACGTTATTTATGAAATCCATTACTATATCGAATGAATACTATTTTTGTCGACAATCTAAGTATTGATTTAAAATTTACTTGCGGCCAAGAACTCATATAGTTTATGGTTTATACCAATTCAAAAACATATTAAATATAATTTTCCTCGAAGAAGAAAAATATCTAGTATTTTTTTTCCTAATCCTTACCAAATAAATCAGTAAACATGCTCGTTGTTTGATTCGCCAATCCATTTATATCGTTTGATATATTTGAAAAAAAGTCTTTGGTGGCACCAGTTCCCATCGATGTTACTGATGATTTTCTAATTTCTGAAACAGGGCCGGTTGATATTGGATTGGTTGATGGATTATTGTCACTTATTTCATCATCAAAACTTAGTTGTTGTAAGCTTAAAGATGTAGATTCTCCCAATAATCCTACCTATAAAATAAATTTATACGAATTCAACATAATACTCGTATATAATTGGTATTTATATATTATATGTATCATATATATATAGAAAGGTATACTATTTAATATTTAATATAAAATTCTAGATTTCAAACACAAGCAAATTTTCCAAAATGACTATAAAATTGAGAATTACATTTATAGAAATAATACAGGTACTTAAATATGTGTCTGATAGCACCTATACAATTCACATATAAAATAAAATATAGCAGAAGTGAATACGAATATGTAGAAAGTATTTGAAGATAGATTTAGTACTAAAGCCTTGCAGATTAATCAGATCTGATTAGTGATATCACTAAGCAAAATAAGCTCAAATTTATCTAAATTTTACTCAAGAATGAATTTATAATTAAGTATAAATGCATTATGAAGTTAAGTGTAAAAAGGTTATAAGTTTAATTACTTATTATTTTAATGAATAAAATATATTGTAGCATATAACACCAATAAAATAATTACCTATTTGTTATATTTTTAATGTATTACATTTAAAATAATTTAAATAATTTTTAAGTATATGCAATATTATATTAAATATCATATTCATTTTCAATAGATATCATTATTATTAGTGTTAATGTCATTCATTTTTCAAATCATCGAATGGTTAAATTGTTTCTATTTATAAATTGAAAACTATTATATTTATATATATAAATAGAATTATAAAATACATTTAATATTTTAGTTTATGTTTTCGTAATAAAATTATAATAAATTATACAGGAATTCCTAAAAACATTGACATTGAAATAAAAGTTTAATTAATAATATATTTATATTATAAACCGTACCTTAAATCCTTTTTTGGACGCTACTTGTTTTGCACTTTTTGTGAGGTCGCCGATTGTACTTTTCCCAACATATGTTAAATCATCAAAAGTGTTTTTACTGACACCGGCTGCTGTTTTGCTGGCTTCAAATGCACTTTTACTAGCTTCGTGTACAGATTTTGTAGCTTCGCCTGCAGCTTTTTTTGCTTGAGTGGTTAATTTATCTGCTACATGCGCTAATATTCCTCCAGCTCCTTCTTGACTACTTTGCCTGGCTGTTTCTCTAACAAGTTCTTTGGCTTGAAAAGCAAAATGTTCCAATATTGAATTGTTTTGACTGGATTGTCTTGTCAATTGTTGGTGTAAGCTATTAATACTTCCCTTTCTTGACGAGGGTGGACTGGATGTAATAATTTGTTTTTTTTCTGGTGTCATTGGTAATGTTTGATAAAATTCGGATGACTAAAATAAAAAAAAAAAAAAAAACAATACCCAGAGATTAAAAATAATGATTGAATACTATCATAATTATTATGAAATAATAAATTATTTAATAAATTATTTTATATAATTTTTATAATAATATTATGTTAAGACGTTAAGTATACAGTTTTAGTTTCAACTTACTGTAGATGTTTGCGATGTAGGTCTAAAATTACTATTTTGTTTTTGTTCTAAAACTACATGGTTTAGAGCAGAATCACTACCACCTGTGTTGTGTCTGCTTAGAAGAAGTTTGTTACTGGTTGCAGTTGCAGCTAATTGTGAAGGTGATTGTTGCAATTGGCTACATCTAACGATATCCTACAATATGACAAATGTATTTGTGCATAGTTTTTATACTTATAGCTTGATTTTAAAAATGTGCTAGATTTAGAATGTGTTACTAAATTATGAAAAGTTAAAGGATTAAGAGATTATAAAAGGTATGAAACATGAAGTCATTAGAATAAATTAATATGATAAATATATTCTATATACCTATGTAATTTGACTATTTGAGCGTGGCAAGTTGAGCACATTTAATACATTTGATTTTAACAAACGTATCATTCTATAGTTAGTGAACTCGAAAAACTAATTTTGTTTAGGTAAACACTTTGTATGTTTTTTATACTATAATTATTATTTCATTATTTGCATTGTAATGCGACATTTTAAAAATTAACTAAAAATATGGTCATTAATAATACGATCTTAATAAATTATTTACAGGTAATTTCGTCTGCTATCATATATGTGCTAAAATCGCCACGCTTAATTCACGGGTATCCGATTTTCATACAGGCTTAATATCAATTATCTATTGTTTATAAATATTAGATACTAATATAAAAATCATAATAATAATGATACTGTATAAAATATGAATTAATAATGAAAAATTATATTATAGTGATAAAATATTGTATTTTCTGTTTGTTTGAAAATTAGTTTCAATTATGATAAATAACTCGATTAAATAATTAATAATATGATAATGTTAAAATTGTATTTAATATTTGGATTTATTAAATGAAAATTTCTTACGAAAATACTAATTTTTTACCGTTTTAATTGAATGGAATATTATTTATTCATAATAATTTTAATTAAACATATTAATGATTAATATTTTTATACATAAGCTTGTATACAATATTAAAATATACAGTTATCTATTGAGATTTGAGATGTTACTTAATATTATTTTTTAATTATAGATGACTTAATTGAGTAATTTTTTAGCCTGGTATTGGTATAGTATAGGTTAATAATTTTGATAAAATACTCATTAATTTCGATTAAATTAGGAATGATCAGTGCAATAAAAACAATAAAATGTTTTTTTTTTTATAGTTATTGTCAAGCATTTGCTTAGTTTAGGACTGTAATAGTTTAACTAAAAATACAAACTATTATAGATTCGGGTTTAAACATAGGCGAGCTCATGTCACTATGGCTACTGGATGGCGATGATCCAATAGATTTACTGCCGATTGATTCTACGGTCCCATCATCATCTGGGCTATCGTCTGATGTCAATGGGAATTGTAATGTTATTGGTGGTTCATAAGCAGAATGTACTCCTTGTATTATTGGTCCAATATTGAGTCTTTGACTTTCTAAATAAATTTAATTTAATACATTTGTTATTCGTATAAAGTTTCAGGTAGTAATATAGCGCATATTTCAATATACGAGTAGTATAATATTTGTAAATTATTTTAATAAATACCTATTTTTGCAATTTTTTCATCAGTAACATTTTTGAAATCTTCGCGATAAATGTCTGGTCTCTCGTCTTCACTGCTACTGGTATCACTACCGTCACTTTCAGACTGGTAACTCGTTTCAGCTATGTAAATACAAAATAACCATCTATATTTATCTTTTATGTATTATTAAATACCTAACATATTAAAAATGATATTACCTAACGCCGAAGAGGGTCGGTTAGAATTTATATTTATATTCATTATATTTTGAATTGAACAATTTTCTTGCCAAACGGTAAATATAACAGGCTCTAAGGTATTCGTAAACCATTTAAGCTTATCGCCAATCATAGATGGGTCATCAACACCTGTTTGAATCCGTTGGAAAACCACGTTGTTCGGCGTCAATGCCCATTCGGCAAAATAATCAACTGCTTGTGTTCGAGCCAGTTGACACGTAAAAAGTGATGGGTTAGGGCGGCTCTTTAGAAAAGAATTAATTTGAAAAAATACTACAGGTCTAGGGTAGAGCCTCAGTGTTCGTGAATGTTCTGTTAGATTGGCCAATACATCGCCCGACAAAAAGAAACGAACCATGGCCACTCTAATTGCAATATCCACCGAATCGATATCGACAGCATTGTACGCTGTAGTCGTCGACGTTTGTCTTCTAAAAAAAAGTGTTGTATTTAAAATTTTAGTATATGGTGCATTGTAGGAAAAATAAATTTCTATGTGGAGGGTTAGTGCAGTGAATACGTTATTAACGGTAAACAAAATGCTTTACTTCAATAATTTAATAATTGAAAAATTAAAGGAGGGTTTTTGGGTGTATCTATCTATAATATTTTGGCGTTTACGTAACAATTTAAGATAACTAATTTATGAATCTAATTTTATTGAAAAATTATAAAATCTAGATAATAAAAAATTTTAGCCTTTTATTTGCTAATATCGTGTACAGCTATTGAATAAAAAAATAACATGATCATTACCTTAACAAGAGTTATTGTCTTTAAATATCTGATTTGAAAAGACTAATTTATATAATAAAGTTAGTAGCGAAAATCTGTACAGAATTATCCATTTAATTTAATTAATATTCAAAGGTTATGATTATGATTATGGAAAATTTTTTTTTAAATTGAAAATAATATTAAGAAATTAACTTTGAAAGTAGATTTTTTTTAAGCAAATATAGCTTAGATAGTAGAATTCATTCTAATGAGTAAATATTATTATTACCTTATTTCATTTCCTCGATTTGTACTATTATCAGTGTTTTTGATATTACTACTTAATTTAAAGTTTTCCATTTTTCTTTCTGAGATTTCTTCACCTGTACTCGTATATTCCATTGGAGGCCGTGTTGTTGACATAATTTCATTTTCCGAAAAACTATTTGTTGCTTTATTGTGAAGATTAATTCGTGAAAGTCCATTTAAAGCCTATTTTAACACAAATAAAATGAGAATGTATTGTTATATTCACAAGTTTATTTGTTATGATATGGTGAATTACAGATTTCAAATTATTTTTCAAAGTTGTCGATTCAGATTTTGGTAACTGTGGTATAGCATCTTCTCGATTAACAACTATCGGTGGTGTTATTTTATTTGAATCCAAATCTACTATCCAAACATCTTTTGGAAATCTGAAACATAATAGATTTTTTATTGTAACGTATACATGTTAGTCACTAAATTACCTACAACTAACCTGAAATCTCGTTTTGTTGAAAAAAAACTGGACGGAACTCCAACAACATAAGGCACAGGGCTCTCAAATAGCTAAAAGTTATATAAACGGTGATTCATTATTCAACATAATATGTATGAATATTATTATAAGAATTTTTTAATTTATACCATTTCTGATTTTGGTAAGCTTGTAGGTAGTAACGGTATAACAGTAAACATGTATTGCAAGGGATACATAAGAGCCACTAAAGCCATTACTGACATAGTGAGAGCATTATAATCCTTCGATTGGAAGACGACCTAAAGTTTAATACAAAATACACGATAATTAATAATGTTATCTAAGATATTATTTATTATATTAAATTGAATATTATTTATTTACTTACTTTACTTTCTAATAATATAATAGTTAATACGTAAAGGCACGTATCTACTCCCAACAATTCTAACGGTAAATGTAAAGGGAAATCAATTAGTGAAAATCTTGTGTGGTCGGGCAATGCGAAAGCCAATGGTGACTGTCGTTCGTTTTGTGCAAACAAATAAACCTATAAAAAATAAATTACAAAATATAGGGAATGAATATATATTTTTCTTAAATCAAAGTTTAAATCTATAAATCAACTTCTTAGTTGTCTTAAGAAAAAAAAAAAATGTAAAACTTAATACAAAATTAAAAAATTAAATATCATTACAAATTGTATTTTTTTAAATATTTTTAGATTTTCCGAATCAAACTAATTGATCCCAATAGATTTTATATGAATCCATTATTTAGGAATTAAGTGAAATATTAAAGAAAATAATAAAATGAATTACAATATTTAATGTGGAAAAATGATGAGAGAAATACATGATACTTGTGAATCAATTTCGTTAAACCGGAAATATTTGTATTTAATACAGACTGGAGATTAATAAATTAATAAATTAATAAATATGAAATAATAAGTAATAATTAATTTAACCATAGATCTAAACAGTACCTTGCTCATACTTTAAGAATGTTTATAGTTTACTGTTTATTTGAATATAAATTTATAAAATATTATTTTAAATTCTGAGCGTAGCAATGAATTTACTGATTTTAAAATGATATGTATTTTTTATTTTTACGACTGTTAACTATTTTAGGGGCAGTAAGAAATTTTGATTTTCATTATTTTCAATCATGGGGGTAGTTTCTGGTTGCAAATTGGATTTAGTTAGTAATTTAAGAATTTAGAAGTATAAGTAAATTTTATAATTAGAAATAAAAAAAAAAAAATTAACGAATACGGAGATTATACGTAAATCAAATTTTGGAAAAAAATGATTTTGGTTTTTTGGTGTTACTCATAAACCGTAAATATTCTAAATTTTTACCAAATTTTTTTTATTTACGATACAATTTTCTAAATATTTCGACTATTTTAATTCATTAATAAGCATGAGAAATTAAAAACTATTTTAGTTTTTTTTTGTTATAGAAAAGTTGATTTTAATTATTCGTTTGGTGAAAATTCTCAATTATGTAATATAACATTGCTTTTCAGTAGTTAATTTATCAATTAAAAAAAAAAATATTGAAAATTTATAGTCATATAATTTTTTATATAAGAGATTTAAGTTAAAAATTCGTCAAAATTTTTAAAATTGATAATTTTAGCAAAGATAAGAAAATTATTTTGCAGTTACGAGTTCATAAAATTTTTGTTTTTATATCTAAAATTGAATATAGGTTATTTATGAGTTTTTCAATTTATATATCTAAGACTGCAATTGAGTTGGTTTAAAAAAGTTTAAACTTGTATAAATTGGGTCTGTGTAATTCTTTATGGTATCGTAGCTATAACATGAAGTACAAATATGATTTTAATTACGTACTTTCTGGCAATAAAGTAATATGCGTTGAAATACATTAATTAGGTATATTATTAGTAATATATTATCGTATATAATAATATAAAATACGAATATGATATGAATAACGTACTTTTTGGTAATAAAATAATATTCAATGAACTACACTGATTATACCACTAGTTCATATTCCATATATAATAGAAATGTTTTATAATATTATGTTTAATGAAAAAGGTAAGCGTATAAATGTTATTGATAGTTTTTAATTTTAATTTTATAAATGTCTAAAAAATAATATCGAACGCTGGTAACGTATAAAAAGAACGTTAAAATCTTTTTATAAAAGTGAAAATGAAATAATTATTGAATAAAACATCTTACACAATCATCAACCTAACGAAGCAAATATTTTAACTAGGCAGACAGTAAGTAACTTTTTAAAAATAAAATCTCTTTGAAAAACCATGTACGTTATTGCATAATGAATAACAAATTCGTACAGAAACTTTAATATAAAACGATTGTACTTTAACTTTAAAAAATACATACCTATCAAGCTAAAACAAGTATTTAATCGAATATTCCTATACGTTTAATCGATATTTAGAAAACACTAAACGATTTTCAAATAAAAACAAATCGTGAAGACTTGTTATTAATTATTGACAATTTAAATGACATAATTATTTTTTTAACAACTGAAAATTTAAAATGTTTATGTAAATCTGATATGATTTATGCGTATGGTACTTTTAAAAGTTATTGTAAAATGTTGACACAAAAGTTTACTATTCATACTACTCACAAGAACAACTATACTCCTATTATATTTTGTTTACAATCTTCTAAAAGTACAAGGTGTTATTCATAAACATTTACACATATTCTCAATGGATGCAATAAACGAAATTTCAATTTTATACATTACATTTTTTATGCTTATTTTGAAGTATCTAATAATTCACACAGTTATATTCACAGTTTGGTTACAAATAAATATTAAAAGTTGTGGATTTAATCTAGACCAAAATTGGCGGTGAAAGATCCAAAATTCTGGATTAAGTTATAATTATAAAAAAAAAAGTTCAGAGTTAGATAAATATCTAAAACATTTTTTCAGATTTCTGTTTTTACCGATAAACGAAGTTGAAAACTGTTTTTCAAATGATTTGGTAAGTAATTTATATCTTATAAATTTCAACCTAATTATTAACTTATTAACTATTAACAACCAGACGATGAATGATTGTAAATCACAAAAATTATAGTAAACAATAGAAAAAAAACATTTTAACCATGCCTGTAATAACACTAGATGTTTAAATACAAATAATCTTATAGGTCTGTAAAAATGGGAAGGAAATTTTTTTTTTCTAGGACCTAACAAATATGTGTTAATATAATATATATATAATCTACCGGAAAGCCAATTCAATTTTTTATGAGCATGTACGACTTAAATATTAAATACATTGGATATTTACCAATAAAATAATTATTTCTCCTCAAAAAATTTTTGATATTTTGTTGTATTTCAAAAAAAAAGAATAACAACAGGTACTTGGAATTTTCACAAAATATATACTATTCTATCCCTGTGCATTAGTTGCCTGTGCAAAATGCATCCACGATGCAATAAATGACTTTAACAGATAAATATATAATATATAAATCATATCACAAAATTTATTTAGTGATATAGATTATAGGCTGACAAATAATCTCTACTCAGAATCGTCTTTTGTACAGAATAATATATCATTGAATTAAAATTTAACACACCTATATGATGAGTGATCTACTCAAAATTTAATGTTCAACTAAGCGGTACTCTTGCTTACTTTCTTAAATTTGTTTTGTTAAAAAATCGATATGATAATATTGTTCTTATCTAATATATCTTACTTCTAGTTTGGTCTTCCCTGGTATAGGGACAGGAGTACTGAGCAAACGCAAAATCCACATTTCAAGTTCTTTGATAAATCGTATAATTCTCGGTGAATTTGCTTGAGTTAAAAATCCAGTTAATAAACTCCATATGCATTCTTTTCTATATACGAAAACGTTAAGCCATTAATTATAATACATAAAATTCTGAATTTTTCAAATATTATTCTAATACATACCTTTTATGTCCTTCGTTTTTGCTACGATTAATTTTTTTATTGCACGAATCGATAAGGCTTTTTAAATAAAATAAACATGTACGAAAACTTGAAAATAAAGGATGATGAGAAAGAAGACACAAAGATGTTAGAGAATATAGATCTTGAGATTCCTGAAATAATGAATAATAAAATTAACAATTTTTAGCTGTGGCAGTTGTATTAACATTTATATACTTTAAGTTATGAACACACACAACTGACAAATTTATTCATTTTTGGATTACAAATAAAAATACATAATGTATTTAAAACTTCAAATACTTCAATTAAAATAAAAAACAATTGAACACTTACTGGTTGTGATGAAATATTTTGTGTAACCTTATCGTTTGTTTGATTCGTGGGATATTCTTGAGACATTGATTTGCAAAAAGAAGTTGTAGAATGACTGTATATAAAACACATTAATATACATTTTATTTATTAATATTAATTCATATTTTGAAACAAAATACATATTTTAAAATTCGTAACTTGTTTTATTATAGTCACTAAAATAAAGAAAAATAATTTAATGGGTTTAAGTTGAACATTTTATTTGTATACTTGAACTACTAATTTTAATAGAAAATCGTGTTTAAGTTAAGTTTATTCTAAGATGATTATTGTAACTTATTTAATGTTAGAGTACATTATTAAATAGTTACCTCCTAACAATTATTTAAATATACACACTAACTAAGGCTAATTGAAATTTTCAAAAATAAAAAATGAATATTTAAAATTTAATAAAATTTTTTTTTTGTATTAGAAGAATCAAAATTAGTTTTGTATTTTTATTTTCAAAACCTAATGTTATATTTATTAAGTTATCTTGAAGCATTACCATTTCAAAAATACCGAAGAATGATTGTTTTGTGGTTTCTTTACATACTGTTCATCATTAATGTTTAAATTCTTTGAAGTATTTGTAAAACATTGACCGACACGTCTATAAAAATTTACACACACGCCGTACCTAGTTCGGGCTATTGAAAAAAAATATTATCAGACAAAACTTTCAATAAAGTTCAAATAATTGGACTATACTAACTTGTATCTTTATCTGTTAGTGTAAATACAAATGATGTAACTTTGTTCGATTCAGATCGGCTATGCTTGAAGGAAACACATCCTTCTGGTTGACAAAAATATGACATTGTTTCTGGTAATATAAAATCTTTATGATCTTCTGCTGGATACCGGCGAAGTAGTTCTGGATTCTAAAAATATCAAAACCATCAAGTTAATATTTTTCATATATATGTTTATAGATTATTATAGGTATACTATTTTGTAATAGAATAATTATTTTTAATCGCTTTCCTTTGAAAAGCAAAACTTTTAATAGTTAGGTAATAATAATAAAAATAATAAAAATAGCTAGTGAAACTTATATTTTAAATATAAGGAGAAATTAATCTGTGTTTAGAATCTTGACAATATTATTTTTAATCAAAAAACTTCCAAGTAACTCAATCTATTAATTTAAAGTGTTAACTTTTTAATAAATTAAACATATTTTGTTTTTCTTAGGAATTGATTCATTGGACTTTAAGATAAAGGTTAAACTTTCGAAAAACTAAGAAAATCTAACTATCTGTTCTTCAAGCGTGCATTAAAATTAAATTATTATTAAAATTTAATTTAATATTTTATCACGAAACAAATATTATACACCCGATATGGTAGACCCTAAACTGTACCTATAGGTTATTTAATTTATGTATGTACCGATTAGGTTATTTTCTTCCATGATAAATATTAATGAAAAATAAGATGCATAAATTATTGTAGATATCTACCTGAATATAAAAGTTGTCATCATTACTGGATACCGTTGAACTATCTCCGCTGTATTCGTCATTGTTGGTTCTATTGTTTTGTAACTCGTATAAAGAACTTCTTTTTGAAGAATTGGGATGAGCTCCGACAATAGCTAAATAGTCGATCAGCCGAGGGCAAAAGAATTGGCTCTCGCTCATAGCACGTAAGTGTAATTTTTTTGAACAATTAAAAGGTATTTTTGGATAACTAAATGTACTGTCTAAGCAGTTTGTATATAACAAAAATATAGGAGATTATCACAGTTTGGAGTGTTTGTTTTTTCTTACGTATTTATATAAATATAATAAGTATTGCTCAAGTTTAGAGTTTAACAAAAAAAGAACACTATGAAAAATTCAACATGTACTTATACAGTCGTGAGATCATCACCGGATAGCCCTGCCACCGAAGTGTTTGTATCATAATAAACAAATTATTATGATTTAAATATTGATGACTGTTATTATGTTACATCGTTAAAGATATTTTTTTTATAAATCTTTGCAACTGTAATTAGACAGTATTTCTGATTTGTTTGGAAAACATCTTGATATTTTTCGTCTGACATAATCAAGCATTACAGCCGTTCAAAGTTGCATGAATTGTCGACTCTGTAAAAATATTATTTAAAATAAAACGTTATTAATACAGTAGTAATAATATAATCTTGTTTATGGAAGCTTAAAATTATTATTAATGTATTTTAATACATCTGTATATTTAAACAATTCAATAATAGACTAATACAGTTTAATAGTATTTATGTTATGTAAATTTTCAGAAAACACGTAAAAAAATGAATAATAATTTATGTGCATTAAAATTGCATGAAACATCCTCATAAAAAAAAAAAAATGCAAATATTATGCGTTACGAAAATCTTAGTATATTTGAATATACCCATAACATTGTTAATGTATGCATTTATTTCATGGAAATTTTTCAAATATGCATTTATATACAACAATAAAATATTTAAAATATCTATAATATTATGTTTTTCATAAAAATAAATAATAATAAAATTACATAAAGACATATAAACGAAGTATATATTACCTATTTTTAAAATATAATATTATTCTGAATTTTATGTTTCATGTGCGTAATATAATGCTTAAAATTGTTAAAAATATATAAATTAAATAAATTAGATCCTATAATCTATATATGTATTCATTCAACTATCTTTACTTGAAAAGTTAAATAACTTCATTAACAAACTAAACTAAAATTTAATGCTTTTTTTAATAATAGTATACCTAACTTTGATGATAGTCATACATTTTTAAGTTTGAAATTTAATTTTAAAATTATATTTTAATATTTTGTAAATAATATTTTCTCTGAAAAGGGGGTTTATAAATCAATTCTGATAATATTAAGTTACAGAAAAAGTGATGAATTTTGAGGTTCAAATAAAAATTATGATTAGTTAAATAATGAAAGTGGATAATATATTTTTTAATATATTCTCTAATAATTGTAGCTTAATTTAGTTTTATTAATTTAAATTATAATACTATATTGTATTAAATTCATATGCTAGCTAATTACAGTAGAGCGACGATTATCCCAGTGGAAGACATAAGTGTCAAAGAGATAAGTACAAAAAAAGTAGTATCGTACAAATGCACCAAAATCTTAGGTAACATAGGTAGGTTACTTAAATTTAGAACTAAGTATATCATTCAAAACCTCTAAACATTTAATCTTAATTCTTAATTGACAAATTTATTATCTGATTACGATAGTTTGTCACAGTCAGTGTGTGAGCAGTTTTGTGTTATATAACTAATTGTTATTACCTATTTTGTAAAACTTTGTGTATCATTCGTTAGAATGAATTTAAAAAAAATTATTACTAATAAAGGTGTTGTGTGCATTTTATTTATAGATCAAAAATATAGATTTGTACGAGAAATGGCCAGCGGTAATGTGTCATTGGGTGTACCAAGAGAAATAATAATTGTGCAATGGAAGAAATACCAGGATAATGAAATAAATCGTATGGAATATGTAAAAAAAAAGTTGGATTAAAAAATCAACTAATTAATTAAAATTATATTTATTTATATGTATACTATTGACAATTTTTTATGAAATCAAAACATCAAACGACACCTTTGGTGCTTATGTCATACGTTGGGTATAACAGGTATATAATATTAGATTGGCGTTTATGTCCTACACATTTTGGCACAAATGATATGTAATTTTTGTACTTTTGGCACTTATTTTATACAGTCGATTATCCGCTCTAATTAATTTTCTAGTTTTTTTTTGTCATTAGTTGAGTCTGTCTTTAACGTATATGATGACATACTTTCTTTTTTATGTTTTATATCACCAATAGTTGATTTACCTACATTATAAAATTGAGCTAAAGAAGATCCGCTTTCTTCTTTTTTGAGTTTTTGTATTATTTCAATTTTTGTTTCAGTATTAAATTCATTATATTTTCTTTTGAAGCCCACTTTAATTCAAACGTGAACTGTGTAATCGATCACGTTTACGAACTAACTAAATATATATTTTACATTAAAATGAATCGTAGTAGATAATAAAATAATCTTGTATTTCATAATATGTATATATATTATATATATATATATATATATATATATATATAACACGATAAAACGAACATAACGAATGATACAATTAAATTAAATTAAGCTAAAAGTAAATTTGTACAACAATTTTGTAGTGCGGATAATTGACGTACGGATAATTGACGTTCCACTATAATTTATTTTGACATAACTAAAAAAAAGATAATAAAACAATGTTGATTATTTTTAATACTTATATTTGGACTATAATAATTTTTATTTCCGTTAAAAAATTATATGTGTAAGTATATTATAATGTTAGTTAAGATTATAGATATTAACTAAGTAAACTCATAATTCCACTCTTTAATTTACTATAGTTATAGTTGGCATTTAGTCAAAAAGTCAAAAGTCTAATAAATGTTATAATAAGTCATTTCATATTTTGAAATATGCGTCTTTTTTATGAATGAAAATATTTGATAAAATCAATTAAAAATTAAAATTATTTATGTAATATTAGTCAATTTTCAATGTTATAATACTATCTGCTTAGATATAATTTATAGTTTGTTCAAATAATGTACAAAGTAAAAAAAAATCCTAAAAAATATTTCATTATGATTTTTAGTTTAATGAATATGGTAAATTTTAAATAGGTGGTATCAGTCTTAGCTGAATCACTGCATGTGTGGGTTGTATAGTAGGTAATTTATAAAACAAAAAAAATTTAATTTTACATCTTTTTATATCTGGTGTTCAAAAAAAAAAAAAAAATCTAAAATAGAGTCTAGTATGTCGTTTTGCTAGAGCTATAATTATTTATACTGTAAGTATACTTAAATAAGTAATTAATAATTATACTAATTACGAATAGTCATTTTATCAAACATTTAAATTGTTCTTCGATATATAGGCTTTTTTTTATAATTAATTAATAGTTAGTGTAATAAAATATATTTTCATAAAGTATTTATAAGTATCTCTTTTTTATTAAATGTATTAAATTTACAATATATTATATTTATCAAATAAACTTTTAAATCTTAATATAATATAGATTTCTAAGTCAACATTGTGATAGCTATTTTTAACTATTGTTTTTTTTATAGCATTATATTTTGATTTTGAGTCTTCTTTTTTAAGGTAATTATTTGTATTAAAATAACCTTGTTTGTTTTTAACTCAATTGGTTTTCTTTTTAAGTTTTAAAAATAGATTATTTTATGTCAACGATAATAACTAATAAGTTACTTACAGATATTTGAATAATAAGTTATAGTTTATTATTTTTATAAAGTGTTTACAACGCATCTCGCCATCTCCTAAATATAATGTTCTTTTTAATAGATTCTTCATTATTTATTCTTTTTAAGCAACACATTCAGTAAAAAAAAAAATCCATATATATATATATATATATATATATATATATATATATATATATATACAATAAAATTGTTGTATTCATTATTTTATACTAAAGGTATTAATGGTATTATGTTTAAAATCGAATGAATGGTACAATTAATATAGGTAATTAAAATATAATACATGGTACCTATTTAATTCGTAAAAAAAAACTAAAGATTCAATATGTATCATCTAGTATAAAACTGCTGAACGATTGATCCATACATATAGTTACAAATAAATTATAATTTATTAACTATTACGTATAATGTATATCGTATACGGTAATAATATTATATTGTCTTTGACGCCCGTCACGACGTCGCCTGTCCGTTCGCGGGACAAAGTTCGAAATTATATGTATGTTTAATATTGACAAATTTAATTTTATCCATAATACACTGCTTATAATTTAAATACGCTTTTAATCTATTAACCTGACAACATCAATTTTCCAGATCATGAATTGAAAAAAATAAAATAATTTTTATTAGTTTTATTAGTTGTTTAGTAACATGTCTACAAAATTTTTTTTTTAAATTGTAATCTTTGGTTTTTCTAGACACATTCAGATAAGAATCAATTTTACTTAATATTAATATTATATAAAATTTGAGTAATTTTTACCTAAAATAAAGGCACGGTTATATACGTATTTCAGCGGTTAATAAGAAATATATTTAATACAACTTTATTATTATAATTTTTATTTCATAATAAATTGGAAGTAAACAATGTTTATTAAAGATGAATTTTCGTTTACATCAAATATTGACTAAATATAGTAAATTAATATACGACATTAATAACATTGTATAGTTTTATTTGAATAAAGACTAGGTAGGTGGAGGTAGTTGTAAATAAATAAGAAGGGTACAAAATGAGTTTTTCTGAAAAAAAAAATATTAAATAAGTTTAGAAATGAAACCTAGACTATATGTTAATTTATATTGTTTAAAAAGTAGAAATTACTTTTGTTTGTCTACGTCCGAACAGTGATGGCGTTCAACAAAAAATATTTCAAGAAATGGTCTCATAAGAAAATAAATTGGAAATTCTAATATTATTTATATTGAGTTAAAGAATAATACAATTCTATAGAAAGCATGGTCACATATTTGAATTCTACCGTCTAGTAAGTTACAGCCTGCAGGTGCATAAAATACTCTGCTTCAGTAAACCATAAATAAAAAAATAACGACAATAAGTATTTTAAATAACATTTTTACTGGAAGATATTATAACACTATTAACTTTATATTTTTAATCATATCGTTAATTATTGATTAAATTATGTATATTTTAAATAATTTTGACAAATTAATATTCACTTTCCCAGTCTTCGAGACATTTATATCACCTAAAAATGCCTATTTTTTCATACACTTAGCACAGAATATTTCTTAATAAATTGACGGAGAAAATACCATAAAATATTTTGATTCAAATTTATTTGAAGGAAAAATACTATTTTCTAGAAAAATCTTAAACACAAAACACAAATTAATTTTCTATACTGTAGTATAGAAAAGTATAATACCATTGACCAAGTTATACTAAATATTCCTAATAAAATATTAAACATAATAATCGCATGTTAGTCTTGTAATTTGCATCAAACATAATAAGTCATTACATGTTATAATATAATCGTAAGCGTCATTTATAAATTATAGGTACGAAATTTAACGATCCAAGTATAAGAGTGATATTAATAATATTACGGATTCTTTAAAATATATTTTTTTTTTAAAATGTTTATACTTTGTATTTGTTATTATTTTTAGCGTAATAAAGTCATTTTAAAAGTTTTTTTTTCAAAATTTGTAGTTCATACTCCTTATAATCACTGGGTCTTATTCAGTTTTACGTTGATGTATATTTCAGTTTGTACCTACATGATGAAAAAATGAGGTCTAGCATCTAGATACACGTGTGATGCAAATATCTGACAACTAAAATGTAAAATTAAAAATATACCTAATTACACAAAATATTGAAAAGTTGCGTTTTATATTAATAAAGTATGATAAATTAGGGTTTTACTTTAGAATATTTCTATTGATATTTTAACTTTATTATGCATAATAATAGTTACAAATGACACTACCTATAAAAACAATGTTTATTAACATAAATATTTTTAAATTAATTTTATAGATGTATTATAATATTATATAATATAGAAGAAATAAAGAGAAGTAAAAAAAGAAAACTTCGTACGTCGTGAGAAAAATTGTCAATGAAAAATAAAAATAAATTTATAATTAACAATATTTAGGTGGTAATTAAAAAAGTTGGATTTGTTTTTACTATTATATAGTTCTTTTAATTATTTTTGTTACTGTTATGTTATCGCTGTCAATTATTTTATATTCACTATATTTTGATATCAAAAACAAAGTATATGCTAATTAAAATAATTAATAAATAAACTAAACAACATCAACTAATGAATATAAATAATGAAATTAATATTTTTATAAACGTATAATAGTATACCTAAGCTATCAGTGAAAACACGCAAACACAACAGTTGTTGAAACTCATTTTCAGCATTCAATAAACATATTATTTAAAAATACATTATAAAAAAAATTAATTTTTTTAAATTAATGATAAGGCCTAATTAAATAAACAAAATAATAACTTCTGTATGGTGCAAGGTGGATATCCACCTTGGTATGGTGAAATTCAGGAAAAATACGAATGATAAGAAATTAGAATGTTTTCATAGATACTTATATTACTTACTTTATTATTATCAGATAGTAAAGAAAAATAATATTAATATGATTGTGGACTATATTATATTTTATATAATAATGTTGAATTCTATTAAATAATAATAATTATTAAATTAAAATAATAGTGTTATTTAAATTGACTTATAAAAAAATAATAGTCATGCTGTTATATGTATGTAATGTCTTAGGTAAGTACCTATATTTGTTGTCTAACATAAAATAGTTTAATATTTAATTTTACTTCACAAATTTAGAAATTAAACTTAATTATGGAATATATAAATATACAAGTATTATAATAATAACATCTTACTAAATAATAAAATACATATTAAATGGTATTTATATTATACGATCATATTAATTATTCCAACCTGTGAGATACTCATACTTTTTTTTGTAAACTTTTAATTTTTGTAAAATTTGCAATATGCGCATCATTAAAAATGGTAAATATTAATTTTCATTTAAGTTTATCTATAATAAAGTGTGTCGCCATTGGGTGGCTTCTTTTCACACGCGTCACATGTTGAAAATAAATATAACAGCATACATGCTTATTGTAAATTAAATTGTTTATTTTAAAATAAAGTTATAAAAAAAAGTTGATCTTTAAATGATTTATTAAGTGTTAAAAAAATTAATTCGATTACTAAAATTACTAAATTATAAGTATAAACCATATATAATATTATATATTTTAATTTATATATATTATCTATCTATTTATAGTTTTTCATAAATATACATTCTTTTTAAAAAAACATTAAGGAAATTACTTTTGTCATAGACACTTTGGCATATACGAGTATATTTATTGTAGTACCTAAATTAATATGCGGGTTCTAATTAAAAGTTGCAGTTTATAGATTATAATAATAATACTCATAGGAAAAATTAGTATATATTGACACGATTAATAGGTAAGTAATGTATATATATTTAAATGTCTTCGATAGAGGTAAAATGTTATCGTATTTGTTTTATAATAAATAAAAACTGAAATTGATGTAAGTGGAAGTTTTATGAAATATTATGTGTTGTATACCTAATCAATAATTAATAATTTTTATTTAGATTGTAAATATTAAAAAGCAAAACGTTTTTACTAATTGTCAATTGAAAACTTGAATAAAAGTGGAAAATAAAAATAAATTATAAGTAAGATTGCAAAACTACTATTATTTATACATAGATATTAGATACATAATATAATAAAAATGTAATTTAAAAACAGTGCTAAAAGAATCACTCTTTCTAACGATTATTGTAAATATAATATATCCATAGGTATTCAATGTATTCATAAAATAATAATAATTTATAAATATATTATTATTTTTTTTTTAATTCGGGCGAATAATATTTAATAGCTCTCAATAAAAATAGTATTATATTTTTATTTTATACCATATTTATATTGATAAACGTAAACTTTAAAAAAAAAAAAGTCCATGTAGGTATAATTGTATAATATACTGAGATTATATTTATAATTCTATCCAAATTTATATATTAAGATTTGTTTCTTTTTTTTATAAATATTAATTTCACTTACTTATTTAAATAGTTTAAATTTAACACTTATATCGAAAGAGGTTTACGTGTGAATGTCACATTATTAAAGTGTCTGAAAATGAAAACATTTTGCCACTGGCATTCAATCGATTTAATTTAATTTTTTTATTAAATTAACAAACATAACTAAAAAAACTGATTATTCGATTCACTGTTTTTCCTCCATAACGCGCGAGGCGTTCAGTTATACTAACAAATCCAAACACACATCAAACGACATATTATTACGTGTGTATATTGTAGTCAAAACCTTGAAAATATGTAGGTGTAGGAACTGGCGGCCTGTGGTGAGCCGATAAAACAAACAGCAATGAAACTAGGGCACACCATATTATTTAAATTATGACAATTTGCTTGGTAGATACCTAACTGTGTTATGATTAGTATGCAAAAAATGGTTGGTAACAGTTGATATATAGGTATATACTTCCTGTATAATAATTATAAAAACATATTGCCAGTGTATAATACGTGATATGCGAGGTGAATTCTTTTATCACTAAGCAGAATCGGTAAGTATGTTTTTGAAAATATATTATTTAAACAATTTAAAGTTCGTACAGAACAATATTTTTAAAAGAAAAATATTTTTTTTTGGTTTTACTACTTTTTATTGTCATTGGTGTCTTAGGATATTAATTTTAAATTACAATAATGTAATTAATTAATTACTTAATAATTCGAAATTCAATTTTATGAATTTAAACCCTTAGAAAAATATAACTATTGTATTAGTCGATTTGTTATATATCATAGATATTTTACGTAGAAAAAGTTTAGTAGCGCAAAAATATTTAGAAATTTAGAGTAAAAACCTACCCTTCTATTGCTCCACATCACGGTCGCGCTTAAAATTCTATTGATTTCTATCTAATTATGTATCAAAACATTATTTTCAAACACACACACACACACACACACACACACATACACTTATTGATAAAATTATTATTTGTAATATTATGTATTTAGTGTATACCTACATTCTTATTGTCTATTATATGTACGTTATAGGTAACTAAATAAATAAATTGTATACATTGTACCTATAATGTTTCGATGTTTCATAACGACAATGTTTAGAACTACACAAACAAGAACTGTTCTATACGTAAAATAATAGTATAATTTAATCAATGAATAATAAAAAATTAATATTATACCAATTACCTATTCAAGTATAAATCACGCCATATATTAATAACATACAATATATTTTATGTATATGTCAATTTCAGCTTACCGATTTATATTTACAAGTTAAGAATAATATTTTATTTTATTTTACTTTCTAGGCATTCAAAAAGATTATTTAAATGATCGACTACAGTGAATGTTATCTTTTAGTTTATATCTTACCTTATTTTTTGTAGATCTGTTGTAACGTAATGTAAAATAATAAAATGTCTTCAGTCTTTTCAGTGAAATAAAAATAAAACAACGTTTAAATTTGCGTTAAAAAAATTAATTTCAGTATTCCATCTATACCTAGATGACGGAGACCAGCAACTCAATATTGTAAGCGTATATTATTACGGCTAAGATAAGTTCACGGCGGGTCGGTCGGATGCCGCCGAACTTGCGCAATCGCAGTCGGTCCTCGAGAAAATCAATATTAGCCGCCTCACCTTATTGCGTGACCTACACGTATATAGTTATAATGACATATTTTTACGAAATAATATAATTCCGAGCCCGTACGACGATGATCAAAAGTTTCGTTAACGAAACGTGTACCAGCTAGCGGTTTTCATTCACTGCAGCCTGCAAGTTTTCAACGTTGCCATTTTTAAAAATGTTCTCAAAAACCAGTGAAAAAACACGATAAAGAAAGAAACAAAAAAAAAAAAAAAACATAATTTGTATTTATACGATATACATATTGTTATGTGAAGGTGTTGCTTGAAGCTTCGGTTTTTTTTTTGCTATTACATATAATCGTAAAAATATTCAACGACAAATTAAAACACGTAATTAAATAACCATTATAAGAATCCCACGCGTCATTAATAGAAATGTAAAATAAATAAATAGAAAATTATTAAAATGTAATAACTAGATACAAATACTAGGAAAATAATAATCTTTATTATGTTTGACACATTTATATTATTTATAATGATAATATTAAAAATTAAAATACAACACATTTTTATTAATTTAAACATTATTGTGATCATATAAAATATTTCATATACGTACCTATGTAAAGAATAATACTGGAAAAATAAACTGATTATTTAATTGTTATATACATAATATTATATATATATATATATATATATATTTATTTATTTAATATATCAGGAAAGTATTAACTATTGAAAAATGGGAATAATGCGTATGTAGGTTACGCTAGCATTATCTCTTGGCTAAATAATGTACAAACTACGTTTGACATCGGCATTAAAATTTCCACAGAACAATCAGTTTTTTTATTTATAGTGATTTTATGTTATTTATTAATCCAATAAGGTAAATTTTATTAATATGTACTTCAAAATTTGGTACATAATACTTATTGAATATTTTCACAAACTACAATATTGTAATGTCGATAGAAATTTGATTTATTAATATGCTTTTCTGGTGAAAAGTAGAAGCTAGTTACTAAGTTGGTTAAGAGATCGCGTACCATAATACGCATAGACAAACTTGATTCTTATAATTTTAAATTGTATGACTTTATGTATATTCAATGCCATTTTAATATATGTAACTTAATGTATCCTGCAGTAATGTTAATTTAGTTGTATTTTAATCAGCAAGAATATGAGTGTTTAAGACAAAAATAAATAAATATATTTTTAACGTCAAGTTTATTATTTATGTATACTGGAGTGAATATGCAAATATGATGAAAAATATGAATCGGCATTTAAACATCAGTTATCGAGTAAGTTAGTACTACATATTATAGTAACTATAATACGCAGTTGACGGTGTATACAAAATATAAATTTCAATCTGATATTAAAAAATACTTAACTTGGAAAGTTTACTTATAATATTAAATCTTATTTTCTTATTTAGATTCTAAGCGGAGTGATATGTTTCTAAAGATAATAATAATAATAATAATAATAAGAAGAAGAAAAATCGAAATTTTTAAGTAAATCTCGTTTTTGATAAAATTGTATACAAAAAATGGTTCTGATTGGAAACGGTCGTCAGCCTGTATAGTAATACACACCTATATAATGGAATACTCGAATATTTCATGAAATGTTTTTTCGATTTAACTATTAGGTAAAGTTATTTATTTTACTTTTAGTATTATGATAGATCGATATAATTTTTTCCGAAAATATTGCATTAATTACATTGTTAGTATTTAATTATTTTAGTAATACGTAAGTATTTATTATTTATACCATATTATATTATTATCAACTTATATAATTCAAAATTAAATATTTTTTTTTTTTCTGTTAATACCGTAAAACAATAAAAATAGATTCAAAAATATCATAGCGTAATAATATTCATAATAATGTAATATACGTAAAAGTTTAAGCCCCAATGAATAATGTTTTTCAAATTATAACAAATATGTAGGTATCTATTATACTCATTAGGTGATAAATAATATTTGACTAATTTTTTAGAAAATATTGCCTTTAATCGAATTATATAATTGTGTTTTTCGTTGTGATATTGATTCAGTTCAAAAGTTAAGATGTTACTGTGTATATAATGTTTCTTAATAACGTTTACTAATCGCATTACCTACTCCTATAATGAAGGGTGTTTATAATGTTATATATAAATTAATAAATAAGTAAATCTGATATACAATTATTTACTTAATACTTATTATTCACAAATATTTCAAAACAAATGTAGCGAGTCTGAAGTAAGATTATTAAGTGAAATAATTAATACTTAGGAGAGAAATTTAAAATAATTGCTGATTTAAATATTTTATTTAAGTAACCCATACATTTTGTATAATTGATAAAGTGGCGAGTAGGTATATAGTTAAGTAATTCAAATATTTACACGAACAATACATGAGTAAAAGATTAAAATAATTATTATATATTGGTTGATAAAAATCTGACATTGTACATATAGAATATAGATACTTCTATTACTTCTTTACTATTTAACTTCAATATTTTATCTAAGTAATATCTAGACATTCTAGACTATATTTAAACTACATAATTTCCTCTTTTTCATAATTATTTTACTATTAAAAGATGTCAGAGACTGTACGATTCTTACCCGATCGAATGTTTTTTTTTTTATCGATTATTATACTACCGTCGTTTATTTTAGATTCTGAATAGAGCTCCGATATTTGACTAAGTTGATGTAATTGAAAAACGAATATCTGTAAATAAGTAATTGACATTTTCAGAAAGTATTTGTGTTAAAATTATTTACATATAGTATAATTTTCTAAATATTTTGGATGTTTTCGAGCTATTTATAGGCTTTGAAATTCGATATATTTTTTTTTATCAATTGTTTTTTTTTAATTAAGAATTTTGTATCCATTGGATGTTTTCACTTGGATATTTCGGTATAGGATATTTATACCTAATTTCAGTAAGTGTATTATGCACAAGAATATTATTTTTTTATTTTTAACTATTTAAAGCTATTTAAAAAACTTACATTAGTAAAAATATATTCGTCCCTCTTTTTATTGTACAAATGTTTGACTTTATTTACCTGTACTTCTGGTGGTATTAAATGTCTGTGTACCATATTTCACGTCAATGAGGCCCCTTGTGTGGTTAGGTTTATTTGTTAGCAGTATTTTTTTTATCCATTTTATGTATGGGTTATAATATTATATAATTGATAGTTTTACAATATTTTGTTGTGTTTGTACTTTATAGTCATTAATATTACAAACATACGAGTATATAACTTAAACAAAACATACTTTTAAATTATATATCCTTCGTTTTATTTTAAATAAAATAAATGAATATATTATATTATAGAAATAAATCAACACATATTAATATATTTTACATTAATATTTTACCGATGAGTTAAAATTTACAATATTAAATAATGTGGTACAAATTGGGTTAAAACTACATTATATAATTGAAAATAAAAATTCATTAACTATAATATTAAATATATAAAATTAATGTCTAATGGTATACATTTTTTAGTATATTAAAAACCACAAATATAATTAAGTACTTGTCGACTGAATCACAGTTGTTAGCCTTTGATAAGGGCTCGAATAGTGCTGAAATTGTTAAAACAAACATTGTTACTGTCTTTTAATACTATGATTTGGTTTTTAATTACCTATGTCTTCATTTAATCTAGACCATCCTATTCGTTCTGCTTTATTTTCATTAATTAGCCAGTGTGTGAGTGGTTTAAAATATTCGATTAAAGGCCGTGCGTCAATTTCACTTGTTTTTCCTCCAGTAAGAGTTTTAATAACTTGTGGCCATGGTTTTGAATAGCCCATTGACATTATTTCACTAATAAAAGACAAACGTATAGTATATAGTGAAATGGTTGAGTTTTATTAAACTTTTTAATTTTAAATCAGTGTTTGTACTGACGCCGAATATGAGAATAAAAAAAGTTTGATGTATGCGGATTTATTAAAACATCTATTATAGTTTTGTCGCAGATATATATAATGATTTTAACAGCTAATTTCTGAGCTATAACGATTAATAACGGCCATTGGACTAATTTTATCCTTTTATATATTAAATACATTCAGAAGGAATCGTTTAAAAAAGACACTTGTTGTAATAATAATACAGATGAAACTAGATTTTTTTTATAAAATACGTGTATATTATATTACTATATTAAAAAAATATGTATTTTTTACAATATATCATATACGGTTATATAAGTTTTTATTTTCTTATTGTCAATCAACGTTAAAATACGTCGTAAAAACATAAATCACTTGGATTTATTTTACAATTTAATGTATTTTAAAATGTTCACAGATTTTTAAGTAATTTAATTTTTTTTTTTATGAATTTTTTCAAATATTTCTAAATTATCAAATTTAAGGTCGTATAGTTATAATATTTTTCCTTAGAAGATGAAGCTTTTACCATTTTTAAAATGAATATACCTAAAAATAATTTCCTGTATTATATTTAACTACATTTAAAAGAATGACGTTTGTCATCCATACTAGGAGCACTTAATGTTATTTCATTGTAGGCCAAGTACCACTATCTAGATCATCCACGTCTCTGATATGATAAATTTTGGTTCCTACCTTAATATTCGACCAGCTTCTCTTGAACGATATATGTCACAAGTATGTAATGGACCAATATGTCCTGCTGCTGTACACAAGGCATCATGTATTTGAAACTGAAGAATTATACTAATGAAAAATCTGAAATATTTGATAATTTAAATTAAAATGTTGAATCGGCATTTATAGTTAGATATCACAGCACAGAAGAATAAATTATGTTAAAATGTATGTAGTTAGATAAAAATTTTTCTATAAGAGCTGCTTAAATAGACTATGCATGAAGATTCTTAAAAATATTTTACTGAGAAAAAAATTATATAAATTATAAATGCTTTATTTATAATTTCAATAGTTCTTTTTTATAACTGATAAATTGATAAATTTTATATTCGTTTACTTATTTGCAATATATTTAGTATTATATATATATATATATATATATATATAATTAGGTATAATATTTTAGATCCCGAAAAATGTGATGATGATATATTTAGGTTACAATGAAAAATGTTGTGGTTTTTTTGCATGTTAATCATCACATTTTAAAGCAAAAAATGCATAATTTTTCAACTTTGCGGATGATTTCTAGTAGCAGATGGAATTAAGTTGATAATTAGAGGTTAAAAAGAAAAAAAATACTTTTTAAAATGATTTGGATAAAAATAAAAAGATTAATGAAAAAGAGTTATATTTTGTAATAATTCAAAATGAAATAAATGCTAACAGAATAATATAATTTTCAAACTACGTTGGTTTTTATCTATTTATAAAAAATTAAAATTGTAAATTTTTAGATAATATATTAATGCAATAAATTATTTTTAATATTCAAAAAGCTTGATGAAAATACAAGTATGAAATTTTTCATAACATTTTCTTACAACACATAAAAAAATATTGAAAACACATTCTTTCGTCGTTTTGAATAAGTATCTATCTGAACTTCATACTGTAACGTACGTAATTGATATTTAAATGAAAAATAATTATTTTAGTCATTTTATTGTAATAACTTAAAAAAACTTGACACTAAATTACATATTTTATAATTTTCTTTATACCTACAGTGAAATGTTTAAAATATTTAGATTCATTTTAAGTTATTCAAACCACAAACTTTTTCATATCACCGTTTATATGGTACATTGGTTGTTGGTATTGACTTACAACATATAAGTTAATTGTAATATCTAATTAAATTAAAATAATATAACTTTATAATGATTATTATATATATATTTTTTTAATATCTACAGTATTATGAAAACTTATAGGATTTGATTAAATAAATAGATATATGCAGATCAAACACGTAGTTTTTATTGATTTTTTACTTTACGTTTAAATGAATTATGAAATAATGTCGATCTTGAAAAATCAATGTAAATTAATTAACAAGTTAAATAGTTCATTAAATATTTATAACGATTTAACAAACATTACAAACTTGAGAAGAATATATTATAAGTATTTAGTAATAAACATATTTTAAAAACCCATTAAATATTATATCTGTGCTTGAAAATTGCATATTGACTACTTTTATATTACAAAGTGCAGATTAGAGCTTATGGTATCTACATAATAGTACACAATATATATTATACTAAACATTATATTAGAATACACAACTAGATATAGCAAAAAATTAGAAAACTATCAGAATTATAGTAAAAATATTTTTAAGAATTTTACAATTTTATGCAGTTAGGTTTCATACATACTTTATATAAGGAGTATCAGCAATCACTTGATACTTAGAACTTGGATCGAAATCGTTTTCATCTCGTGCTATTGGTGGAATGATTCCTTGATACAATAATTTTAAATCCCACCAACGAGCATTTAAATTGTGAATGCCTTTGGAAAAAACACTCCATCGCCACTATAATTTTATATTTATATGTCAAACATAGGCAAGAGCGAATACTTAAAAATAAATTTTGAAGTACTAGATATATGTCCTTAACTACTTTTTGTTTTGTAAAAGTATTCAAATTATTTTTAAATACTTTAATAACTATGTATTTTTTATATTTTTGAAAAAAGTGCTTGCGATTATTTTCAATATTTTTCTAAAGTATTTGTAATTAAAAACAAATATAAATTTTTGAATATCAACTTTTATTTTTAGGTAATATATTTTGTATTTTAATTAAATCACAATAAAAAGAATCATAAATTCAAAATAAATGTGTGACTTGAATCAGAAAATATAATTTATATACTATATAAAAATATAAAATAATACAAATTTACCTGGAGTTTTATTTTTACTTGTAAAATAATTTATAAAATTTATATAAAATGTAAAATTGTCATAAAAAACTGTTTCGATATTTTAAGATACCAAAACATGTTATTAAAAAATTTTGAACGTATCTATAAATATTTAAAAAAAGTATTTATATTTATATCTAAATTCATTTTTTTCCGAGTACTCAAATACTTTTCAAAATAAGTATCTGTACTTGAACTTGAATAGTTTTAAAAAATATCTATTATATTGCTACCTACTTATCTTGGGAGTATTATGAAATTATATTTTTATTAGTTACAAAGTCATTTTATTTAAATACTAAAAAAAATAATTTTAATAAAAATTATACAAATGACAGTTATGACTGGTATGAGTTTAATTTATAAAGCCATATGGCTATGTACAACTGTACAAGGCTGTACCCAAGGTCCCCTTAAAATTTTATTGCATTGCGCAAACTTAGAAATTAAACGTTCATTTTTTTTTTCTATTAATAATGTAGCATTATAGTTCAAACAATGATAATATTAGGCCATAGGGGCATGGTGTGGCGTGATGTTTGGATACAGTCATTGAATGGTATTAATGACTATATAATAGCCAAAGTTTAATTTTAAAAAATAAATATATTGTAATATAATATTAATACGGTATAGTTTAAATTTCCAAATCAATATTTTTTAGACTTAGATTCACTATAGTAACCCTGAATTAAACCTTTGGAAAAGAAAATGGTCTGATAAATCCATACCAGAACGGCTTACTAAAGTATTTGAAGTGTATTCTAACTGTAGCTGAAACTTTTTTCTAAACATTTTATTTTTATCAAAAGTTTTGATTATTTTATCGGTGTCAACCACAATGCTTGAAAGGACATTTTCTTTTTTTAAAAGAATCAAGTATTATTTGCGAAACACTACTGTTGAAGATAGACTAACCGGTTTAACATTACTTAGTGTACATAGAAATATTCATGTTGATCCTGAGGAAGTAGTTAACCGTTTTTCTAAAGAAAAAATAGAAATTAGAATTTGTGTTGTAAAATTGAATTTTATTTAATTATATATTTTAATTGTTCGTTATTTTATATAGCACCCTCTCACCCTCCCTGGAAAATTTGTTTTGGGTATGGCCTTTGCTATATATTTTACAATATAATAATCTTTCAATAAATATTAATACTTTAAAAGTTGAATAATGTTATATAAAATTAAATGACAGTTAGATAAGAATATTTTAGAAAGCAACATAATATATTAAATATAAAAATAATAATAATGATATATCTAATATTAGTAGGGCATGGATTTTTATGTAAATACATAATTTTATTAAATGCAGTTTCCTTAATTCTAATTAAACTAATTCTTTTCTGTTAAATATTTCATACTTTTTAATACATATTTTAGTAAAAATAAGAACATAAATATTTGTTTATTTTGACTTTTTTTATTACATACTAATTCGTGCCCTGCTAATTAGTTACTATTTCAAACAGTATAGTTTACTGTAAATTACACCGCTTTTTTTCTTAAAATGTTTTTAAAATGTGTATCCTAATAAATTACACGACGGTTAAATTATATGGTAGTATTACTTACTAGTTCTATAATTTTATTACAACTTAAACAGTTTTCAAGATTACTATATTATGTCATACGCCCATACCTATCAAAAACTAGACGTGTGTCTGCGTCAGGTATTTACTTACCTTATAAACAGTTTATGACGAAAATTTGATGATTTTAATCATAGTGAGTTATACCTAGACGACCTAGACAACACTCCCTAGAAAACGACTAACTACAGAGTCATTTAACTAAATCGTTTTTTTTTTTGTTTTAATATACATTTTTTTTTTTTTTATCGTAGATATTATTTTCTAGCATTGTTTGTATTATTATTATTTGAAACTTCTTACCAAATCAACTGAATAGGCGAAAGGTAGATAAGCAATTTTGTCTAAAGCCATTTCCATTAAGAAGTCTATTTGATCTTCTGCAAAAAAAAAAAAAAAAAAATAATAATAATAATAATAATAACAACTTAATGCATAGGATATTTTATTTTAAATTTTAAATTTCATCACACCATAATCGTCAGTTATATTATTTAATAGCCCAATTCTGTGTAAATGCCGTGGTGTAGAAACAGAAAGAATAACTGCATCACTCAAAGCTTCATGAAAACCTAAACATATTAATTTGTTTGTGATCGATCTAATTTTGAATAAATGTAATAATAAAATATTTGTAGTTGGGATTCACCAGGATTCGCTCCTTCTTTAAACAGCAGAGGCTGATCAGAATAATGGAGATAATATTGAATATGAGCCATTTCATGATGTGTTGAAAATAGATCATCCATTGAAACGTCAGTGCATTGTTTTATTCTAAATAAAAAAAAAAATAAAAATTGAATCACTATTTATTAATTTTTTATATTATGTTCAGGTACTCGTTTAAATAACTTATATACTTTTGTTTAATATGTAGCTGTAAAATATTGTAATAGATGTCAGGTGATATAATTTCCATAATATTATATGTATATAGTACATTAATAATTGTATAGAAAATAAGATAATAATTTTTTATTTATATATCTTATTCAACTTAGTAAAATTTAACCGTATTTTTTTAATGGCAGGTTTAATTGTCAATCTCAAGTTACTAACTAGTTATTTTTAAATTATAGAATATTTAATTCTAATAAGTAATAAAAGGTGATTGTTATTCAAGTAGATAGTCACTTTTTGTTAATTACTCATATCTTTCTAGTCTTGAACTATTGAATATTATGTTTAAAATACCAATAAAAAATATGAATAAAAATTATAACAGCAAGTGTTATCGTATTATTAATAATATAGTAGTCTATGTTTTTAAAAATTATTGATTTTATCATAAAATAAAATATTATGCAATAATTTAAAGATATTTGAATTTAAACACAAAACAAATATTAATGGATTCCTCTTTAAATAAAAAATACACAGAATTAACTAACTGATTAATGACAATTTGTATTCTACATAATAATATTTACCTGTAATCATATTTATTACAAAAATCCCATGCAGATGCTTTGCATGATACTGGCCTATTTGTTGGCTTTTCCAAAATTGAATTATGCCAAAACTCCACTGGCATCGCTTTCAATCCAAGTGATGTGAAAAATTCTTCAGCAATTTGGAACATCCTATTATTATGTAGGTATATTTTAAATGTATAACTAGTCCATTCTTTTAAATAAAATGTTTATATTATTGTTATTATATATAAAATGTAAGCAGATGTGAGGTATCTATTATTTTTACTCTACAAAGAATAGACCCACCAAGTATAGTGTTTTACGAGACTCTACCATTTTTTATACTAATTATATTTAATAAAAAAATAAATAATTATAGTCACATATTTAATAGATAGATAATCGAAATATTATTTCTATTGTAAAAAGTAAAATTAAATTAAATTTAAAAAAAAAACCAGATATCATTATAAAAACAATGTATTCATCGGTATCTTCAGAATTTAAATTTCAGATAGATTGTAGTGTAGGGGTTAAATATAATAATTAATAACCTATAGAAGCAAAGAATTTTAGAGGTTAGGATGCGTAGAATCTTTGACCATAATGCTCTTTTTTCTCAAACAAAAGCGTTCTTTGATATCTGCCCCGTATAAATATTGTTAGCAGACGCCCATGTAACAAATTCATTAGTAAGTTTAAACGTACAACTAAAATGAAGTGTTATATTTTTTTTTAAATTCAATAAATCTCTTGGTATACAAATAAATAACAATGCTGAATTTTGCATAGTTCACAATACTACGTATATTACGTATTACGACCCGTTGTACGTGACTTGATACGAGTTGGGTTATCCAAGTTTTCGAATTTAAATATTTTAGGGTTGTTAAGTGAGTGCTATTGGCTAAAGTTTATTCGGACCAAAACCACTGCATATTACTACAGTTAGGTTTGGGTACCGAGCAGAAATATATGGAAAATGTTCACATTATTTATTTTCAATATACCTATTTAATAAACAAATAGGTTAATTCATGAAATGCAATAGTGCCTTTAATTATGTTTGATGAACACGTCGTTCTGTTATTATTAATCATTTAATTATTTGATTCTATTATGATGAATAATAATTATTTTTGTCTCTAGTTGGAAGAAATTTTCTATGAAAATAAATTTATTATTGTTGAAAAAATCATTTTTAGGTTATAACTTATTAGTCCTACCACCTTAATATATTTATATCTTTCATTAAACAAGATTAAAAAAAGAATTTAATTGCATATTTTATTTAATTTTTAATTTTTAGATTATAAATAAGTATTTGTGTTTTTCTAAAATCATTATTATCTGATTTTCTTTATCGCGTCGATGTATGTATCTATTTAATTAAATGGCCAAAAGAATAGTAGGTGCTATTGATTTATACCTACTATACACATTAAAACTTTATGTACATAGGATTTACATTTACCGCGTTTTAGAGGGTTTACTTTGACTTTGATTAGAGCCAAGTATTAAATGGATTTTTCAAATAGGTATCTACTTTGATTTTATTGAAAAGGTGAACAGAATAGTAATACTAAAATACGTCGAGCACTAAAAAGTGAAAATGTAATGTAATTATTCATTTATTAATTTAAGCAACAAACAAATTATATACTTATAGCGAATCTTAACAGCATAATAAAATTAATCAATAATTATTATACATATTAATATTAATGAGTAATTATATTGTTTCATATATTTAGTTACCTATCCTATATTGTTAAGCTACGCCTAAATTATATTTATTTTTTTGATATTTATTATTTGACTTGTCGACTAGATTCAGTGATTGACGTTTATAGCAATACACAATGTAATAAATAAAGCATATTGACTAACAATAGGCGTTTTGTGTATTTATTTAATATAAATTAGCCTTAACTAAAATTTTTAGAAAAACTTAAAAAAAACTTTAAAAAAAATACATATATATATTTTATTTGGGTTGATTTCTATATTTTTGTTACAATTTATTATTTTCAAAATATTTAGATTTTAATTTATTAAATTTGTATTTTATTATTGTTTTTTATGGGTGGTGTACAATTAATATCTAAAATAAAACTGAAAATGTTTAGTATAATATTACAGTTAAAAATTAAATAGACCTGTTCATAATTTGATAGGTATGTTCAAAAAATAAAATATGTATTTAGGTCATCCCGCTATTGTTATTTTGTTTAAATGTATTCTTTCTAATGGACATATTACTTTAAAGGCGTGTATCCTTGACGTAACATTTCACCGGAAACATCAATACGTCTTTTCTTCGGAAATGGAATCACTAAATCTATTATGTTTTTCCAGTTCTGTGCCCACATGTTACCTAATTAAAAACATAAAGCTTCATAATATACGTTGTAAATTATTATACTATAAAAAAAATGTTGGGGTAGACAAATTATAAATATAAAAAACGGATTTTGTAAAATTGATTAATTTAAAGTGCACCAATTGTATATACTTGTTGTATGATTATTATTTTTACCTATTTAAATTAGAGTATAATTGTTTGATTTATATCTGTAAATTGCTTTGTAGAAAAATTTATTTTAATATTAATTTATTATTTTTAATATTTTATCATTTATGAAACCTACCAAGTAAATGCGCTGGTATTGGTCCATCGACTCGAACCCTGCGTGTACCATAGTGAGTAACTAATTTTCGCCGAACATAAGAGTGAAGATGTTTATAAATCGGTTCTATGGCTGTCCACAAATTTTCAAGTTTAGCTTTAAAATTTGCATCTTCATACATTGCAATCTGTTGCTGACCTGCATCTTCAAACCCTACAGAGTTACAAATAAAAAAGAGTGATCTTTTATCATACTTGCTGGTAGGAGAATTTTTTATCTGTATATTTTCGAGTATATCAAACACATAATAATATTATGTTAATATTGTAAAATTATAAATGATAAGATTTTAAATTATTCTGGTTATTTTTTAAATACAATATGTTATATTTATTATTTAATATATACATTAATAAATATAGCATAACTAATTATTTTTTATTGTTTTCTATACTTAAAAATATTATAATACCTATTGATATTGCAGCTTCGTTAACCAATTCCATATATTTTATATATTTAGGTCGAATTTCATGTCCAATATTATCTCTCCATGAACGCCAAGTATACAATAGCTCTTCAAAATCTCTTGAGTTAGCCATCACTCTTACTAAATCTTTTTGCATTTTATTTTTCAAAATATCGTGTTACTATGCATATGATTGTTTATTATATTTTATAAATAACAAATTATTGATACCTGGTTCAAGACTTAGTTCACAATACGATGTCAATCTATAATTGAATGGACATATTTTCGCTTTAGCATAAATATCTTTCATTTCATTTAAAATTGAATGCATCTATAAAATGAGAAAAGATTAATATCTCAATACCTATTTTATGTACTTAAACAACAAAGTTTAACTGATGACAAAAATATTCATATTGTGTAATAATTTATTTTAATGGTATTTGGTACTTAAAATATATATTTGTAAAACACGCCCATCTATGTTAAAATATTTCTTTTTAAAAGGTTAAGCAGCTTGATATTTAATTGCTGAGTTTTTTAGTAAGTGGACAGAATATCTAAATAAATTATTTACTAAAAAATCGTATAAAAAAAAAAAACTTCGAAATCAGAGTTTAGATCGTCTATAAAAGATACTGTCATTCAATTTTCTTGATTTATGTTGGAAACAAAAAAAAAAAAAAAATTGATAATGTAATTGTAATTCAAAGTTTAAACACACACATTTTATTAGATAGATATCAAGAATTTTATAAATGATCTATCTACCCCGTATACATACGAGAGAACTTAAATTTAAACATCTGCTTTTTAAGTGATTTGATACTGGAAATTTTAACGACATTTTGAAAAGAATTAAAATTTTAAATCCTAAATATGTTTAAACACATATCAACTCAAAATATCTTATAATCCACATATTATATAATAATTAAATACAGGTACTTACCTGATTTAGTTTTGAATCTGGTATATTTGATTGGCTTTTCAATGCCAAAATTTTGAGTTGTCTTTGTATAATAGGATCAGATATACGGGTCCACATGAAATCAGAAGCTTTTCTCCAAGATACTCTATTGAACTTTGAGTTCAATTTTTGTTCGTCTATCTTTATAGTAATAAAATTTGAAAGCAATGATATAAAAGGTATTAATATTATAATGGTAAATATGATAATATCTATACTTAATAATTATTATTGATTTTTACTAAAGAAAAAAAAAAACAAATATTGTGGCGTAGTTATTAGTAAATAATTAAACTTAATGTGATTTAGGTTATGTATAAGCTAAATTCATAACTTATATTAAGTTTTTTACATATTTACACTATAATAAATGTATAGTATTTACAATAATATGATGTTAATGTATTTGATACGTTAAATTTTTCTTATACATATTTAAAACAAAGTCTTTCTATGCACTGGTGGGTTAAGTTCTGATTTAGTTAAATATGCCTGATTATAATATATATATTACTTAATAGACAAGTTATTCATGAATCAGTTATCTGTCAGTTGTCATCCGATTTTAATTATAAATAAAATATAAATTATTTATAACCTATTAAATGGAAACATAACGTTAACAACATTTATGATGGTCAGATACCTAATTAATTAAAATAATATGAACATTTGTAAATGTAATTATTATAATGAATAATTCTGAGTTATTCTATAAAAGAATCAAATACATAATATTTAATTGTAATAGGTAAAATTTTAATGTAATGAATATTGTAAGGACTTCCATGGTTTTGCATATAATAAATTTCAAAACTTTATGACCAAATATTCAAAAATAATATAATATATACTTTTGCATACTCTGATATTTTTGGGTTTAAAGAATATATTTTTGATTATAGGAACATATTTTAAGTTTTGAATGCATATTTTGATAATTTATCGAGATAAAGCACTTGGGTAAATGTTTTTCATGAATCAAGGTCAACAATTATATTAAATTGAGAATTGGTCATAAAAACGAATGAGATTAATTTTATCGTATTGGTCAGTGGAAGATTAGATTAAAACTATATCGATTTTTTTTTTATACATATAATTACATAGAAAATTGAATAAAGTAAAATAATTGAAATAAATAAAATATAATTTTTTAGTATAATATAAGAAATTATATTTTTTTGGGGGCTAACTCAATTGGATATTTTTAATTTTTTAATACTTAAGTTTATATTTTTAAATACATATTTGATGATTTTTTAGTGGAGAAAAGTCTTTGCTCTAGTAATGGACATTAAATAAAAATTATCTCGAACGCTAATGTAATCATAATAATTGTCCACTGAGACATAGTACCTCGAGAGGGTCTGAAATAGTTTAAAATTGCATCTCATAACTTATAATATTAAAACATAAGTGCACTTAGTTGTGTAGATATGAAAAATAAATCTACTTTTCTAGTTAGATTCTAAGGTAGTACCTAATAGGTATTAACAGTAAAAAACTCTATTTTTTAAGGATATTTTATAATTTATTTTTATAACTAAAGGTTGTTAAAGCATGTTAATTACTCCAAAAAGTGATTGAAATATTAACAGAGAAAACACATTGTAAAAGGTAAAACCATTATATTCATCATAGGTAACATATACCTTATACTATTATATTATGAATTGTTAATAAACAACCACTATTAACAAATATTTTATTTATATCATAATTTCAAAACTGTAATTTTAAAATATTTTAATTTTTATAGATTTACCATTTGTTTTTTATTGTATTCCGTTATATTTGTTGCGTATGTCCACTGTGCCGTTGCTACTCTATTGCACGAGGCTACTGCTTCATTTTCCCATTCACGAAGAAATTGTATAGCTTCTTCAATATTAGTATTAAACCCCTAAATATTGATAAATGTTTTACTGTTTTAAAAATAATAATTATAATTTGATTTAAATTTAAAAATTAACATATAGCGTTGATATTTTATCACAAAAAAATATTTAATTTCATATTAAGAAAAATATAATAACGTTTTACCCAGATAATAAAATAGATAAGTTTAATTTTTTGTTTATTTATAATTAAAAATACATATTTTCATATTATTAATTATTTTAGGTAAGTTTTAATATTTACCCATAATTAAAATATTTTTGTCAGGTTCCAAGAAAACGTATTTATTAAATTCACTTTCCTACTTTTTAAATTTATCATTTATTTATTTAAATTACTGTTTAATTAAATTATTACTAGGACTCGGAAGTTGATGCATTTCGCATTTTTTTTTTTTTTTTTTTTTTTGAAACTTATTAGACAATGCTCTCCTGACCACAAATGTGTTTCATAAACATGTGAATTTAAATTACTGATTTTTATTTTGCATTTTTTACTTTTTTCACTTTTTGTCATTTTTAGGTATTATTTTCCTTTTTAGTTCAATTTCTTGTATTTTTAATTAGATTCTGTCAATTAACATTTTTACACGTATAGTTTTTGTTTTACACAGATTGTATATAAGTACCCTCATCAAATTTATATTTTATAAAATAATATTTTACACAAGTTGTATACAAGTTAGATAAAGATTCAATAGAATAAGGCAATAATTGCTAACCTATCATTTATACTTTTGACAATATAAAATATGCTTTAATAGTACAATGTAATAATTTTGAGTAATTTTAATTATTAGTTCTCTATTCTTTTTTAAAAAGAATTTATTTTTACTAATTTTAAACAAATGTTTATAATTTTTTTAGGTCATTTTTTGTGATTTTTAAGTCATATTTGAATTTTTTAGGTTTTTTTAAAATGTTTTTAAAGTCATCAACTTCTGAGCTCTAATTATTACTTATTAAATAAAAACTACCAACTAAGTTAAATCTAAAAGAACAATTATTAGCTGTATCATTAGTATATTACCTACTCTTTAAAGTCAATATACTCGTATATACCAATTTACTTTATATAAACACATTTTATTTAAAAATGTATCTTTTTATATAAATGTACATATTTTTAATTTAAATTACATTTATATATTTGAATAAAACACGTATCTTAAAATAGTTTTCATTATTTTTAATTATTTTACAATAATTCAAAATTGTCCAGGAATATTTTATTTTTTGTGTTTTGAATCAAATTCATCTAAATAAATTTATCTAGATTTTTATATGACTTTTTTCAACAAGATAAACATTAGATAACTTAATCAATATTTACTCATATAAGATAAAAGATAAAGATAAGTAGTTAGTATGTACCTAACTATTAAAATGTATTATCTCAACATGACTGAAATATTACTGTAATTTTCAAATAATTATACAATATACTTATAAAATAAAAAAAAACTAATATAAACTAATTATATACCTATTTTTATATTACAAATTATTATATTAGATATTTATTCAGTTATTGATATTTATAAAAAAAAAAAAAAAAAAAAATACTAGATTATCAAAAAATATCTGATTGTATTAAATATCAATAATAAATAAAACAATGTGTATCAAGTTTGTTATGCATATTAAGTGAAAAATTTAATTATATAAAATAATTAAAAATAGGTACCTGTATTTTTGAATAATCTAATTCCATAGAATATTTGATTAAGTATACTGCAAAAACTAGAATAATCTTCATTGAGAAATTAGAAGTTTTCATTTTATCCTATAAATATTTTAGATAATTTTATTTTTAAATGATAAATATATGATAAATATGTTGTGTATTAGGTTTTATTTTTTTTAAATAAATGTTTACATAAATTTTTAATTTGTTAAAAAAATAGCTTAGTAGCTGCACTGTATAAATTTTTCATAGAAAATAAATACACACTTATAAAAAATTCACAAAATAATAATTTAATTATGTTCACTAAAACTAATTAATTTACACAGAACAACGTATGTATGTCCTATTTGGATCACAAATGGCAACTGTCAAAGAATTATTTGAACGTATTTCTTTAGGTTTATATTGTAATAACTTGTGTTGTGATCATCATCTGTAACGAGCAACAATTGCATTATATACCTTCACTACTTTCGTTCGTTGTTTAATTTGTGTTTATATAGTTAAAAATATTTAAAAACAAATTTTGTTTTGTTGAAAAATCAAAATAATTTGTTTTTAATAAATAACTGTTTGTTTATGTAGTTGATTTTCAAAAAATAAATACTAAAAAATGTCAAAAATATTTTTTATTATTTAAATATATGTTTGGCTGTAACAATAAAATATTGATTTATAAGTTAAATTTAGTAAATTTACGTTCATAAATACCTGTATAATATAGTTTCATAAACATTAAAGAACACTAATATTTAGAACCTAAAATAATAAATACTGGTGAAATTCTTGTACTTCAAAAACATTAATGTTTTGTTAAACGTATTTTAAAGTTTGGGCAACCCTGCTGCAGTTGATCCACACATCTTTCACTATCATTATACAGTAATTATATGCAATTGGATTATCACTGAGGTACAACAATAATTAATAATAATTTCGGCATTTATTGCATTGTGTTTAGTAAATAGCGTTAGTAACAATATTTTTATTTGATAAAGCATTTATCATAAATTTAATTTAATGTATATTAACCAAATAAATTTAACATGCAGTTACCTTTTTTACGGACGTGTATTAAAACAATTATCAAAGCGTGTCTATTTACGATTTGATAGTTTTAGACAGCATGTCTTATTTTTCTGTTCACAAATAAAAGATAGATCCAGATGACTAAATCACAGAAAAAATCTAAATATATCACATTTGTGAGTTAATTTTTAAATATACTTTATAAACATAACACAAAAATAACTTTTCAACTAACTTTAACAAAAATAAATTTTGTAAAAGACGTATATTTTAATTTAATAAGCATTTTTACTGTCTCAAAAGGTAATGATAGAAAAAACACGCATTGTTATAAAATCAATAGGTATATTTGCTGTTCGGCTAAAAATCTTAAATGAAGATGAAACGAAAATGTTTACATTTAACTAGTTTTTGATAAAATAGGTTTCTTTATGTTATTATGTTTCAAAAACGAATAGTCCTAGTGAAATTTTTACCAAAGGTTTATAATAATTTTTCTATACATCAAATAATTTTTTAAATATTTTTTATTTTATTTTTCTATGCTTTTTATAGATAATTGAAATTTGGTTCATCATGAGTGGTTCATGTACTAATTAAAAAAATATAGATACATAAGCACAATATTTTTATACAAGCATTTTAAGTTCAAAATTTGGTTAAATACAGGCAAACATTGTAAATTGTTTTTTAGTTAAAAATGTATAAAATATTTAATTTTTTTTAGGTTAGGCTTGAAAACTAATGTATGGTTCCTCATAAAACGCATTCATACTGAAATTAAAAAAAATCTAAGAAATATATTTTAATTTATAACCATGATTATTAAGATTATTTTAATGTACATTTGAAGTATAAAATTGAACGAAATTATGTATGTAAACGTTAAATTAATACATGTAAAAGTTAATTATTTTGTTAGAATTTTAAAACATTATAACAAAATTGTTATTGTTCAGTATGTTATCAATTTTAGTAATCATGATTTCTTTTTCAAAATATTATATAGATTAATTTTAAACTATTAGGTACTATAAATGTACTCATATTGTTTTGAAGTAAGGAGGTATTGACTGAAAAGTTAATAGCAATAATATAATATGCTTATATAAATGTATATACTATTAAAATAAATAAATATTATGGCCTATCTTTTATTATTAATGTATTTAAAAATATGTATACTTATATAAACTGTATCGATGTAAATATATCTCTTTTTTTTATGGTTTCTTCTTTTTAATCTCATATGATGTGTTCTATTTTTTATATTTTTAAAAGATCTTTGGATCTAAAAAAAATGTTTATAAATTTACGTATACAATTTTAACCATAAGTATATAAAATCAGTTATATACATAAAGGATTTTTAAATTTTTATTTTTATTTTAGCGACTGTATCCTATTGGCTATTATGCCTATGGTGTTTATCGAAAATGTATAATAATACTACTGAATACTGATACACTTTATTAAAAAAAAAAAAAGAATCAATGCAGCTATAAAATTATTAATACCTTTTTTTATACATAGTGAGTCAAATAATCCCTAGGCTCTACAAATATTTATAAATAGTATAATCATTACAATATATATATGATATATATGTATTTTTGTGGTGGAAATTACAATTATATTTCACACTATTAATTTTTTTTTTTTTTTTAATTATTAAACTTAGGATTTATTCACTTTAATAGACGTCAAAGAACGCATAGTACCACCCAACGCTGGCTTCAACGAGAACATGGAGACGGATAATGGATACTCGTATATTTGTTATCATTTATGATATTATAACTTATAGGTAATCTACATATACTTTAAATGGCATTGGATCGAATGTAACACTTATTTTTTATTTATTATCTGATTACATATCAATATAGACGAACGAATATCGAATTCGCATAAGTAGGTTTACCTTCTCTTCCCTGCTAACGTTTATAATAGGTACCTAATAGATACCTATGTGTGTAACTGTATGGGGCACGAGCCGTCTCGCTATTCGCTCACACCGGTGAAAAATATGTATAGTTAATGCGTCGTATACTTGTATTATTATTATAATATACATTTGAAATCAGCGAAACGATAATATTTTGTACATTAATTACCTTTGTGACAGTAAGCACAAGTTGACAGTTCGTAATTTTATTTATTTTTTTTTTCTTAAGATAATTTATGAATAGAAGACTGTGCCTTCAATATTTTAATAACAGGATGTGTAATTTCCTGCAAATGTTTATCGGGCTGAAACGCAGAGATTATAAGATGGCTCTACTTTTTATGTTATGGTTCTTTGGCACAATGCAATACCGTTAGAATTTTTTAAAACAATTACCTCCTAGTCTACGATGATTTACTTTTAAAGAAGGTCTTTACTAATAATGTTATGGACGTATAATGTACATATTATACTTTCTTATGTTTTATTATTTAATTTATTTATTATTGCCAAAATATATTTTTTTGTAATATTTTATTTATAGTCTTAGAAAATACAAAACTGATTAGTTTATAAAAACTTTGAGAAAAAAAAAATGAAACTTCTATTTAACCCGATAAATTGAAGTACATTATTATTTTATAAATAATGTAATACATGTTACTGTTAATAGACATCTTTTAAACGCACTCTTAATTTCCTAAATTGTTTAGGTTATGAACAGGTAGCTGATCTCCTTTGCATACTTTACTCATGTGTTGTGTTAAATAATTTATTAGTTAGTCTGTAATTTTATTTTAACTCTTTATATTTTTTTTTCTACACAAAAAAATAACTCTGGATGCCTAGATGCGACAACTGCTATTACATGCTGGTCCACGATAAACTGATATTTTTAGAATAAATTATATTTACAGAAAATTTAAATGTTCTTTTCCTAGTTTTAACGTAATAATATTAATTTTAAAATTCTAAGTGAGTTTAAAACTAGAAATCGATATCGATTGTTCATTTTATTATATCTACTTATTATATCTTATGATCACATTTTTAGCAATACTTTAATTTTCTTGGGGAAAATTTTGTCAAACGATAGAAAATGTATAGTTTGTTATGACTTTTACTTTATATATATATAATTTGAAATTTATCATCATTTTAAAATTCAACATAACAAAACAGTACTATATATTGCATCAATATTATTGAAGTGAGGTGAGTTCCGACCACTTTGTATTTAACATTTAATACTGTTCTTAAATCTCTTTAAGTATGTAGGTTTATCATCGTATAAAGATAATTTATATTATACTTAATGGTTATTATACACCTAGGGGTAATTTTGTTAAACGTTTTAGCTGCAACAAAACTAAAACACCGTTGGCTTTTAAATTATTTGTTAAGTATCATAATCTACAACATCATATTTTATTATTTTATTTACAAATATAGTAAGTAAAAAATACATTGATATAAATATACTAAAATTATAATCTATATCATATATGAGTGTACTACTATAAGGATGTTTATTATATTTTTCGTTTTATTCAAATTTAATCCATATAGGTTCAAATTACATAAGATTATTAGAAAGATGTGGCACTAGCATATATTGTCTCCGTTTTACACATAACGGCATGGTAAATTTTCGTTCACTAGTTTCAATAAAAATAATTTTAGTAATTTTAGTTATCATATTAGAGTGAATTGACCTATTATCAAACTCTTAGTGAATAACATTATATTTGTTTTCTCATTGGTTTTTTACGTTATTTTAATTTATAAGTGAACCATGACCATAATTTTCATATTCTCAACTCACTTAAAAATTAAGATATCGTAAAAACCAACGAGAGAACACAGATAATATTCTTTAAAAAAAATTTGATAATAAGTCAATTTACTCAAATAAAAATTAAAAACACACTATTGAAACTGGTGAACGAAAATTTACTATATCGTACGTGTATAAGACGAAGAAAACACATGCGGGAGCGATGTCTTCTTAATGATAATTAAATATTTGTTGTGCATTTCAAATGGTAACTAATTGCATAGCTTTAAAAATTAAATATTTATAAAATTTAAACTATAAAAAATTTGCAAATTTTCGTGAATTTGACCAATTTTGTCAAAATTTTAACTTACTTAAATAGTTAAGAAATCATTTAAGCTCAACTTTTATATTTTAATTATCTTATGAGGAAGCTCACATTAAATTTTTAACTTTTTGATAAAGCAAACAATTTTTTCTGGATATTCATAGAAACATATTGAAAGGTAAATAGATTTTGTCAATTCTATATTAAAAACCCGCATTTTTCTTTTTTATTTTTTTTTTAATTAACTGAGAATTATTAATTTCGACTAATTTAAAGTACCAATTAGTTCTGATTTTCTATCATAAACTATTGTTAAAAGCGAATATAGAAGTATTACTCTGCTATAAATCGTATACATACAAAAAACTTTTTTATGTAATGTTTTTGTATGATATTATATTTCTAAAATTATTATTGTTTTTTTTTTTTTTACTTAGCATCTTATAAATATCAATAAAAAGACACTACACGTTCATAAATTGTTAAAATTCAATTTGCACGGTTAAGAACTATTTAAGCTGTATAGACATTAGACAGTCTATACAGTTCTAATGAAAAATTCAAGTGATCGCACCATAAAAATAAAAAACTTTTGTTATGCATCATGAATTTCATTTTTTTTCAATATTACTATAATACAAAAAAAAGTTATTATTGTTTTAGAATCCATTATTTTTATGTCTTTAAACTGGAATAACTTTTTTGTTAATGTGATATTGAAAAAATAAAAAATAATGCTACTTAGTAAAAGTTTATTTAATTTTATAGTAAACATTTAGATTTTATCTTGGATTAAGACTGACTACGAACCGAATGGTAGCCTTCTTGATACCACTTTTATATAATTTAGTAATTAAGCAACAACTATCTATGGTACTATATTTAAAATTTAAAATAATTATTTTCATTTAATAGTTTTATTAAATTTTTTTATATTGATCCCTATAATTGAATGTGTAATATCATCTTAATGTACTTAGTATTAATAACTTTGTAAGTAACAATCATATTCGTTAGTTTATACCTATTGAAAATACAATTAGACAATTAGTTATATTTAAAAATCATAGGTATAGAATACAACGAAAACTAAACAATATATTTCTTTATTCAGGTTTAATCATAAATTCATTTAGGTTATTTTTTCAATTTAAAATAAATCTATGAAAATAAAAATAATAATTTTTTATAAGTAACGTAAAAACACGTGTTTATAAAATTAGTATATGTACGCACCTACTTACCTAGAGAAAACAATCGAATTTGAATAATATATATTTTGGTTTTTTTTTTTTCAATTAGGGTAGTGTATGTAAACTATACGAGGGTGAAAATGAAGAAGAAGAGCAATACCATAGTCGTTTTCATCAAATGGCCAGCCAGTAGAATATAGTTTTATTCCTCTCTCGTTGATCATTAATCACAAGTTTTTACGAGCGTTTTCCCCTGTGTCTACCACGTTTGCCCGCAGTTGGACCGGCTGGAAAACAGTTTTAATTAACAGCTAAATGTCTCTAATAGCTCCCTCGACATTACTTTAATCTGGAGCTAATTAGAGCTGCGGCGAAAACTCTCCTCCCCCCTAAACACCGCCTGTTCACATTGGCACGTTGGCGGACCGCTGCTTGCTTGCTCCGCCTAACATAAAACCACTTTTTAATCTCTGAAGGAAATTGTAAACTCGCCCTAGCTCATTTGTTTTCTTTAACGAAGCCATCGTCCGTATGTATGTATTTAGGATCAATGTCACACATTTAACCTATTGAATTAATGCATTTATACTGTAATTAACGAAAACATATTTTAATCGTGTAAATTATGTTATTAATAACACAATACATTTGAGTAATTGAACTCACTAACACTGGAAAAATTATAACATTTGCATTGCTGGTATCCCATGAGTCCGCCGCTTAATATATTATTGATATATCCATAACGTAATTCATACAACGAAAATTTGATTTTTAGTTATTAAAATATATGATGTGAATAACATCGAAATAATTCAATATTTATATTATTATTAATATCGTTACATGTTTTAACGATTATACGTATAGTTAGCGATATCTGTATACGTCTATATTACATAACATCAAGACTAATAATACTCCTAATTAAATTAATTAAACAAGGATTTCTCAATATTTGTACCGTTATAGCTAGGTGTTGTATTGCATAATGATTTAGTAATATTAGTTAGGTACTTACCTGTGGTAACTACTATATGGTATATTACACATATAGGATATAATTATAAGATAATATGATGCATTTAAATGTAACTATAATATAAATGTAAAATTATTATATGTATGTTTATTGAGAAATATGAATTATAACTGATTTGTCTAAGTCTTTCTAATCATATTTAATTGTAATACCTTAAGTTTTTAACACAATTATAGTGTATTTAAGGGGTGAAGATTAGTTAATGCCCCCCCCCCCCTGGAAATGGACTTCATTTTATATGTAAATACTTATTATTTTTGTATCTAACTAATAATACAAGTTTTTTAAAATCGAGATAGAATAAAATAAAATAAAAAAAAATACAGTTGAAAAAAGAAATGATTATTGTGAGATGTAGATCAAAAGTTGTATTGTAAAAATTATATTGCCGTTTCCTGATTAACCTGCAGTGGCTTCAGTTAAATCACTACTTAACACCTTGACTTTATTATATTATTGTTTAATTTAGAACTAGGTACACTTCACATAGATTATACAATTGTAGTAAGGTTTATGTTGGCAACGTAATAATTACCAATAAAAATACTCAATTTATTTTTTTTAAAGAATCGAGATCCACAAGACATATTGTGTAATCTGCCGATAATAAGATAAATTATAATGCCTATTAAAGTATAAATATCATGAAGGTATAAATAAATGAGTCAATAAATTAATATTGTAATGGAATGTATTACAAGTTCATCAAATTCTGATAAGAAATTAAAGCGTTCTTATTTTATATAATCAGAAATTTTTATTTTTATTAAATATTCACATATCATTTAGTTATTTACAATTCACATGAATAAAGCGTGCATTTATACAATTTTCAGATTTTGATTGAGTACTATCATTTATCCATTAAATATGTTTTATATTATCTATTATTAAAATATTTCATAATAATATTAAATAAGTAGGTAGTAAGTATGAATAAAAACAGTCACACAAAAACATACAATTATCTCTCTCGTAAAACTAAAATAAATAATATACGATATTTTTAAAGAACATTAAATTTATGTAAAACTAAATGTATTTGGTGAATAACAATATTTTACTATAATATGAGTATGCACAATGTGTTTATCATATTACGAATTATGATAACGATTTCAGACGATTATTTTAAATAAATATATTACTGGAAACCCAGATTAATATTCATTACATAAAATTAAAAACATTTAGGTAGGTATACTTGTTTTGTTAACTATAATGCTTTCAAAATAAATTTTAAATGTTTAGAAATGTATTAAGATGAATACATTAGTTTTTAATTCTCTTGTTAATAAATAATTAAGTTATTAAATTATTATTTTATTCAATAGTACAGTATTATGATATATATATAAATATATATATAATATTATGTATAATATGTATCGATTTGACCAATTTATTATGTTATAAAATAATTAAAACCAGTTAATAATGTCTATAATACAAAATGACCAACGTTGTTATTATTTTGATCGGAATTTTATGTACAAAACAAATTTACTCAAAAGTCTGTTATGATACGTACGGTCTGTATAACGACTCGCAATTTCCATCTTGTTCGTGTGATCTAATATTGTTTAAAGTGTGATAATTATGGCTTAGTTGAGCAGTAGAGTTATGATTGGATTGAGTTTGAATTGTTGTGGCAGCGGAGGATGTCGGGCAATCTATTTTTATGCGAGATTCTTCGGGAGATCTGATGTTAGAGTTATTTTGTAGATCATTACTCCCAGTGCCGCATGTTCGAATATTTACGGTTCCTCGTTTATCCAACGCTGTATCATCTCGCGAAGATATTTTAGCTTCTTGCTGAGCTTTTTTACTACGTTTCCATTTCATTCGGCGATTTTGAAACCAAATTTTTACCTAAAATATAAAATATTAAGATTACCTAAAAAATATCTGTAACTATATATAAATAAATCTGTACTAATATATACTAATTAAGTTGCAATTAAGTTAATTAATAAATATGTCATTAATCGTTAATAATAAATTCAAATATATAACTTTATATTATAGCTTATAATATTCAATATATATTTAACTATTTTTCATATTGGTTATAAAAATTATGGTTTTTTATAAATTTCAAATAATAATTAATACGAGTTTTAATATAATAAAAATTAAAAAAATTAGTTGTATAGTTCTAGTATCCTGTAGAATTATATCTATTATAAATAGGTGTAGTAAATAGATACAAAGTTAAGGATAATTACATGTTTTTACTGGGATTGTATTAAAAGATAAAATTAGTTGATAAGCTATGGAAATGATAAAAATTTTATGTTTAATTAATAATTTACTTAATACAACAATATTTAGTATCTTACCCATAATAACCCAATTAAATATTTTATAAGTATATTGTTTGCAAAATTACTATATTATTTTAACTATAATAATCTATTGACTATTTTTGTTATATGACAAGTCTTGGGTCTACTGAACCTACTGGTGGCTACATAAAGAATAGAAGTACCTAATAATTATACTAATAAGTAGGGCTCGGAAGTTGATGACCTAAAAAAAATATGCAAATATGACTTAAAAAGTAAAAATACTATATAAAAATTAGTTATTTAGATTCATATATTTATGAAACACATTTATAGCTAGTAAAATGTCATCTAATAAGTTCCAAAAAAAGTGCAAAATGCATCAACTTCCGAGTCCTACTGTCAAGTTACATAAACTGACGAATAAGCTGATTAATTAAGATATGTTGATAAATAACGAACAATATAATGTTGTACCAATAATTAAAATGATTAGGTATGCATTTATAGATACACATTTTTTTCTTCAATATTATTTATTTACTTAAAGATTATAATGTGTATGTGATAGTGTAACCTACTGATATATTACAACTTAAATATACTCTCTCAATTATTTCATATTTCTTGATGGTATATTATATTTTTATATGTACACTGAACACGAATAATTATTTTCTGAAGCAATGTTAAAGCGTGGTGAAATTATAACACTCAACGTTATTTCTAAGTCTCTACATCCATATACTGTTTGAATTAGCAATTGTATAATATATACATTTCAGGAAATTTAACAGAATAAGGATTACCTATGTCTGAAAGGGACTCTGTGATGCAAATTTATGTACGCACTCTTCACATAAATAGATACCCATAAATATTTAAATGTGTATATAATTATAAAATTTCAAATATAGTATGAAGAAAGTTTTATAAATGTGCAAAGTTTCTGTTTTATACATAAACTTAATTAAATATTACTAGACTGAAATTAATAATGATGAGCTTTTTTATTGCAGCATTTTCAACTTAAATTTTGGATAATATAAATTTAAGCCGTAATACATGAGTACAAATATCGATAGGTAAGGTTATCATGTATTATAACGTCTAATACAATATATTGATATATCGCACTGCTAGAACAAGACTGCCACAACTCAAAATTCATGAATTTTGAGTTATGACTACTGTTGAATAGAGAAAAATAAGCTCTATAAAATGCAGAACGCCATTCAATATAATTTTTGTTAGCCACTATAGAGATGTATCAGTATTGAATATTTAAATGATTAGTATTTCAATGCAAGAGACCATATTCACTTTATGGCGTATACTTATTTTAATTTATCCAAATTATCACTGAAATTCAAGACTGCCTTATTTCGACTTGCGGCGTTCTTGCGAATAAAACTAATTATCGTGTATGTTTGGTCAAACAACAATATTTAGAGTTGTATATCTGCATTTATAATTTATCATAGTGCAACTACAACCAAATATGACTATATGTATTTATTAATAGAGCTTTTCGTTTGCCAATTGTCATATCGATTAACAATGGTTATCATTATCAATCAATTTAATAAATGGTTATCATTATCAATTGACCTTATAATGTATTATCGTATCATTTTTAAGTAAGTACCACCATAACATATTTTTGTATGTAGTTTTATTATTCAGTTAAAAGTTAAATCATTATTATTTATGACAATATAGCAATGCAGCTAATC